CAGAAAACGAGAGTCACGCTTGTCCAGCCAAAATATGTGACAATCAGTGACTGCCAACTCGTAGGGTGCGCCGAGGTGCTGGTAGGTCATAGTAGTGTGCTATCCAGTTGTCCCTTCATCGATGTAACCGAGTGTGATATGGAGTTGATGCACATATGACAGTGACCCTAGCCCTTACCAAATGGACCAACCGAACTTGACAATGCTTCATACCATATGGGGCCAGCGGACTTGGCCGACATCTCAACAAATCATCCATAGTGATGGCTGGGCCGAACAGGTGGGCGCCTGCCAATAATGGGCGCTCCTATTGAAAATAACCCACACTTTGCACCAATGCCATTATTATTTTGCACTCTACAGGTGAAATTATTTTGAGCTCTGCAAGGGGCGCAATTATTTGCACTCTATGGGGGTGCAATTATTTGTGCTCTAGAGGTGCAATTATTTCAAGCTCCACAAGAGGCACAATTCTTTTGTGCTCCATGGGGGCGCAATTATTCTGAGTGCTACAGGGGGCGCAATTATCTCAAGCTCCGAGCTCCATGAGGGGCGAAATTATTTGCATTCCATGGGGGGGACAATTATTTTGAGCTCCATAAGGGATGCAATTCTTTTGCACTCTACAGGGGGTGCAATTATTTTGTGCTCCACAGGGCGCACAATTCTTTCAAGTACTACTGTATGTACCTTGTGCTGTTGATAGGGTCACAAATAGTCTGTATCCAGCATTGTTTCAATGTCAAAGTGTGCTGTGCCCAATGTGAATGGGCACCAAAGGTCAGAGTGCTCCCATCAAAGTGCGCCCAATGTGAATGGGCACCAAATGTCAGTGCGCCCAATGTAAATGTGAACCAAATGCCAGAGTGTGCCCATCAGAGTGCACCCAATGTGAATGTGCACGAAATATCAGTGTGCCCAATGTGAATGTATGAAATGTTGGAATGTGAATGGGCACAAAATGTCAGTGTGCCCAATGTGAATGCATGAAAAGTGCACCCAATGTAAATGTGAACCAACTGTCAGAGTACACCCATCAGAGTGCACCCAACATGAATGTGCCTGAAATATCAGAGTGCGCCCAATGTGAATGCATGAAATGTTGGAATGTGAATGGGCACCAAATGTCAGAGTGCGCCCATCAGAGTGTACCCAATGTGAATGCATGAAAAGTGCGCCCAATGTGAATGGGCACCAATTGTCAGAGTGTGCCCAATGTGAATGGGCACCAGATGTCAGAGTGCGCTCAATGTGAATGCACACAAAATGTCAGTGCACCCAATGTGAATGTTCACCAAATGTGAGTGGGTGCCAAATCACTTGTACCTGCACTAAGTATGCATCTGTGTCTGTTATTCTCCAGTTGTATTTCCACCCATTATCTTTTTGCATGAAATGTCAACTGTGCCCAATGTGAATGTGTATGTGAATGGGCGCCAAGTCACTATGTTCCTATGGCATTTATTTTGCACAAAAAATATGTGCCCCCCCAATTGTAGTCAATGCCTGGCCCACTTTGGCAGGGATTTATGGCACTGATGCACTACACCCATTGGTCTCATTGGTGAGTCCTAACCTGTGCAATTATTTTGCGCTCTACAGGCACAATTATTTTGAGCTCCACAAGGGGCACAATTATTTGCACTCTATGGGGGGTGCAATTATTTTGTGCTGTAGAGGCGCAAATATTTCAAGCTCCACAACGGGCGCAATTCTTTTGTGCTCCAGGGAAGCACAATTATTTTGAGCTCTACAGAGGGCATGAGGCGCAATTCTTTTGCGCTCCAGGGCGCAATTACTTGTGCTCTATGGGGGAGCAATTATTTTGCACTCTATGTGGCACAATTATTTTGTGCTCTAGCAATTCTTTTGTGCTCCAGGGAAGCACAATTATTTTGAGCTCTACAGAGGGCACGAGGCGCAATTCTTTTGCGCTCCAGGGCGCAATTACTTGTGCTCTATGGGGGAGCAATTATTTTGCACTCTATGGGGCACAATTCTTTTGTGCTCTAGCAATTCTTTTGTGCTCCAGGGAAGCACAATTATTTTGAGCTCTACAGAGGGCACGAGGCGCAATTCTTTTGCGCTCCAGGGCGCAATTACTTGTGCTCTATGGGGGAGCAATTATTTTGCACTCTATGGGGCACAATTATTTTGTGCTCTAGAGGTGCAATTATTTCAAGCTCCATGAGAGGCGCAATTCTTTTGCGCTGCATGGGGGCGCAATTATTCTGAGCTCTACAGGGGGTGCAATTATCTCGAGCTCCACGAGGGGCGAAATTATTTGCATTCCATGGGGGGTGCAATTATTTCGAGTTCCATGAGGGATGTACACTCCACAGGGGGCACAATTCTTTCAAGTGCCACTGTATGTACCTTGTGCTGTTGACAGGGTCACAAATAGCCTGTGTCCAGCATTGTGTAGTGAATACAAATGTGAGTGGGCACCAAGACACTGCCAGTGTCAGATTGTCATGCCCATTGGTGCTTCAGGTGGGCACCATAACTGTCAATACCGAGTGTGTATCTGCGCCCATTATATTCCAATCTGTATCTGTGCCCATTATTTTGTGCACCAATTTTGCCATGTGGATTTCCACCAAACATGAGTGGGCGCCAAGTGTGTATTTGCGCCTATTATTTTTCTTCATGAAATGTCAGAGTGCGCCCAATGTGAATACACATGAAATATCGGAGTGTGCCCAATGTGAATGCACACGAAATGTCAGAGTGTGCCCAATGTGAATGTGCACCAAATGAAATATGAGCCCAATGTGAAGGTGTGCCAAATGTGAGTGGGTGCCAAGTTAGTATATACCTGCAACAAGTGTGCATCTGCACTTGTTGTTTTTCAGTATGTATTTGGAGAGCGCCCAATGGGAATGTGCACCAAATGTCAGAGTGTGCCCATCAGAGTGCGCCCATCAGAGTGCGCCCATCAGAGTGCGCCCATCAGAATGTGCCCATCAGAGTGCGCTCAATGTGTTCTATTCTGACTTTCTAAGGTGTCCAGACATGGGTAGGTGATGATACCTCTCATGCTCTCTCCTATTTCGCATTTTTCTCTGCCATCCCATTCTCCTCCCATTTCCAAAACATTTTATGGTCCTATCCTGACTTTCTAAGGTGTCCAGACATGGGTAGGTGATGATACTCCCCATGCTCTCTCATATTTCGCATTTTTTACTGCCTTCCCATTCTCCCCCACCCTCCAGGTCACTCCCAAATCACATTGGTGCCTCCCAAATGCCCCATATTTCACTCTCTTGGATGGTACAGGATATAGGCTGGGCTCTGGGCTCCAGAAGTACACTTCCTGGTTTAATCTACAGGAATTGAAGATGGAATTCCTGGAATGGTGGATGGATTTCATGAATTTTCAGGATGGATTCCATAGATTTGCAAGATGGCTCTCAGCCAGTAACCTACAGCTACTTTTATCCAATATATAGTTATCTTTCTCTGTAACTTTTGGCTGAGCCTTAAGAAACGAAGAAGAGCACTGCAAAGCTCTGGACAATAATCAACGCAACATGCTTGACAGAAAAATCACACTTGTGAGAGTGTGACAGCCTAGACAAAACAGCTGAGTATTGAATTCGGTTGGCCACAAACAACCGTTGCTCTAAAAAATGGTATCAGTAGATGCTGAATTGTGTCTAAATTATGATTCCAGCTTGTTTGGGCATCCAAGCTTCTTCCCCCATGTTTTGTAGCATGAACTTGTAGAATTATCGGAATGTTTGCCTTTGTTTGCTTGGCCCTTCCAACATCTTTCAAGTCTTTTGCTGCCATAAAATATTTACACAACTACTGGTGCTTTTCTAATAGGTATAGATCGATAGAGGACATTTATACAATTCTAATGATACTAAATTTGTACATTCAAGCTTCTTCCCCCACACCCTGAGCTGGAAAATATACCGGACATGGCCAAATTTTGACAAAGTCCAAACATCATTTGGCGCAAAAAAATTGTTTCAGTGGGGCACATGATGTCATTCAGCAGGGCAGCTACAAACTACTTTGGTCCACGCATTTACTACAATTGGGGGGGTGCATATTTTTTGTGCAAAATAAATGCCATGGGAATATAGTGACTTGGCGCCCACTCACATGCCCATTCACATTGGGCGCACTCAACATTTCATGCAAAAGAATAATGGGTGGAAATACACACTGAAAAATAACAGGTGCAGATGCATACTTAGTGCACACATTTGATGTGCATTCACATTGGGTGCACTCTGACATGACATTTCGTCCCCATTTCACATTGGGCGCACTCTGACATTGAAACAATGCTGGACACAGACTATTTGTAACCCTATCAAAGCACAAGGTACATACAGTGGCACTTGAAAGAATTGTGCCCCCTGTGGAGTGCAAAAGAATTGCATCCCTTATGGAACTCAAAATAATTGTCCCCCCCATGGAATACAGATAATTTCACCCCTTGTGGAGCTTGAGATAATTGCACCCCCTGTAGAGCTCAGAATAATTGCGCTCTGGAGCACAAATAATTGCACCCTGGAGCGCAAAAGAATTGCACCCCCCATGGAGCGCAAAAGAATTGTGTCTCTCATGGAGCTTGAAATAATTGCACCTCTAGAGCGCAAAAGTAATTGTGCCCTGGAGCACAAATAATTGTGCCCTGGAGCACAAAAGAATTGCGCCTCTCATGGAGCTTGAAATAATTGCACCTCTAGAGGGCAAAATAATTGCACCCCCATAGAGCGCAAGTAATTGCGCCCTGGAGCACAAATAATTGCACCCTGGAGTGCAAAAGAATTGCGCCCCCTGTGGAGCGCAAAAGAATTGCGCCTCTCATGGAGCTTGAAATAATTGCACCTCTAGAGCACAAAATAATTGCGCCCCCATAGAGCACAAGTAATTGTGCCCTAGAGTGCAAAATAATTGTGCCCCCTGTGGAGCGCAAAAGAATTGCGCCTCTCATGGAGCTTGAAATAATTGCACCTCTAGAGCGCAAAATAATTGCACCCCCATAGAGCGCAAGTAATTGCGCCCTGGAGTGCAAAATAATTGTGCCCCCTGTGGAGTGCAAAAGAATTGCGCCTCTCATGGAGCTTGAAATAATTGCACCTCTAGAGCGCAAAAGAATTGCTCCCCCATAGAGTGCAAGTAATTGCGCCCTGGAGTACAAAATAATTGCACCTCTCATGGAGCACAAAATAATTGCACCTCTAGAGCACAAAATAATTGTGCCCCCCATGGAGCGCAAAAGAATTGTGCCTCTCGTGGAGTGCAAAATAATTGCACAGGTTGGGACTCGCCAATGAGACCAATGGGCGCAGTGCATGGGTGCCATAAACCTCTGCCAAAGTGGGCTGACCCATTGTATGAGGGGCTTTTTTTCATGCCACCCATCCATGGCGAAAAATTCACCTCTTGTTGCCTGCAGGCGCAACAACGAGGCTGCTGTCAACACATTTAAATACTTACTTCACATACAACAGGTTAATAATATATCTATTTAACTTTCTCCTGTGTGGTCCCCCACAGTGGTACTAACGAGGCAGCACTCTGGTTAACTGCCTGAAAGAACGATGGGCGCAACAATGGGATCTGTGCAATTGGGCGCAACCCATGGGCGCCAGAGGCAAAGTGGGCCGATCCGTCCTCTATGGGGCTCTGTTCGTGCGGCCCACCCATGTCGCATGGCCTATTTTAGAGTCTCGGCCCAGTCATTCCCAAGGCCGAATTCTTGACAGCTCGGCCGAGTCCGCTGGCCCGCTGTTGATGGGCGCCTGTCACACACCGCTGGCCCATCAGTGATGGACCCATTTGACTGCCCTAACTGGTTGATGAAGTGGTCATTGATGTCTTTTGCTTTGCTTTTGCTTGTTTAGTTTGTTAGATTCTAGTCGCTACAACATCAATGCATGAACAGTTTCTGTGAAACCACTCCCATGCCTTCCCTCGGTTCATGTCAATCTGCTAACAACTCTCCAGGACAGCCAATAGATCTTCCGTCCCCACCGGTCCCCACCCTTAACCTCGAACAGCCGCGGATTACTCCGCACCTCGCATCTCTGACCGTATCGGTCAATGAAGCCCTCCGTTTCACTAAGTCTGAACTTGGATATTGGAGCTCATGACCCAACAAGATGGGCTTCAAGTTGTGACCTTGAATAACAAGACTGAAGCGTACAATGTGGAGTGCAGGAACAAGATTGAGGACGAGAAGAGGGAGAAGTCGGAAGAAGTCAAGGCGTGTGCCAGGTCGGTGAGCTCAAACGAGACCAGCAAGAAATTGCAACTACAGGTGGATTGGATTTTTATCTCCTACTCCCTCATCGACATCTATACAGCCTCAAATGTTGCACTTGCGTCATCTTGCACAATTCATTCTCCTGGCTCCTGCCAGGATAAGCATAATCAGTGCTCATCAGAAGATTTCTCTGCTTCCGTTTTGTCGATACCGCTACTCGCATCTCTTGCCAATTCAGCACTGGCATGCTCGGAAGCGCCACAGACAGGATCTCAGCTCAGTTTGAGGAAGAGAACACACATCCCTCACTGTCCACTGTGTAGTTGTCACCTCGATTTTAGGTGTTCTAGAACCTCAAAGCCGAACCTGCACCAACTCAGAGTGAGACACACCTTCATTAGATTGCAACATAATTAGTAGTACAAGCAAAAAATTCTCGAAGAGAAGCGTACATATCATTGACCTCCAGAGATGTAATGAGCCTATCAGGAAAATCACATCACATGTGGCATGTGTGGCACCACGCTTCTCATCCAAACCATGGTCAGCCACACTCCCACAAACCATGATGGGGACATTATACTTGTGGTGGCGAAGGGTGGCGACACACCCACCACAATCATTCATGGCACCACAAACTCATCATAATTTTCATTATGGGGCCACAAATCCAGCTTTTAAATTACACCACACTGCCCAAATGCGAAAAATAAAAACATTTATTGGTATTATACTATGTACAAAACAACACGTAAATACTATATTGTAACAAAAGAGTGAATGAGAATGATTTGGGGAACTCACCCAATCATCCTTGATGCAGCCCTCCTCCGTGAGATCAATGAGGTCCTGTTTGTGACAGGGGTCAGGAATAAGGTAATGGTGAGATGGGGAAAGCACACCACCAAAGGACGAACATGGGATGGTGGGTACTCATCGTTCGTGTCCTACAATACATGACGGCAACAAATGAGCTCGTCGTTTGGCTGCCAGATCGCCGACGGAGATGTAGCACCTAGATTCTGTGTTAGAAAGATAGGTGGTGGGGCCTCACCTCAGCTCGTTGTGATTTGTTTCCGTTGTCGTTTGCATAAATGATCGTGGTCGGTTTTGGTTGGCGTTGTCGTTGGCTGTTGTTCGTGCTTGTGGGCGGTGTGATGTGGAATTGCCACATTGTCATTGCAATTGGGGGCGGTCGAAGGATGGTTGTTGTTTGTCACGTCGCCATTGGCGACGTGGCCCCTGCGTCTCTTGTTAAAAAAGTAAAGAGGAGACTAGTCAGATGGCTCACCTCGCTGTCTATCGTTTGTCATTCTCCATCTGTTGTTGTTTGCCATGTCACCGACAGCGACGTGGCCCCCCTGTGCATTGTGGTAAAAGACAATAAGCGAAGGGAGTTCAGATGGCCCACCTTGAGTAATATGTGCAGTGATGACGACATGCATCGTCACCGTCTGCACGTCCCAGGTGGTTGTTGTTGTCGTTGGGGTAGGTCGTTGTTCGTGACGTTGAGGCCTGAGGTGCAATAATGGTTGGGTGCGGTTGAGCGATGGTTACTCGAGATGGTGGTGGTGATGCATTGCCGCAGTGGAGGGAGACTACCGGAGGAAGGAGCGTGAACTGAGCATGAAGCAGCATGAAGCCCGAGAAAAAGTTCAGAAGTCCAAAATTTTCCGACGTTCAACATGTCACATGATCGATACACATACATGCGACAACAGCTCTGTGGCGTGAAGGATTATTGTGACACACATGGCACAATTTATCCGGAGATCAAAATTATGGCGGTGTGGTGCCAGCTCCATCACGCCGGCCACACTCCGCCATGCGATCACGACCTGCCACACATTTGCGATTTTCCTGATCTGAGTAGAGTAAAAGCATAGACGTGTTCGAGACACGCGTTGGTGATGATAGTATGGAGACTGGCAGAGAGAGGTGAACAAAACAGAGGAGTGGTGACACGCATTAGTGATGATGGTACGGAGACTGTAGCAGAGAGAGGTGACCAAAACAGAGCAGCAGTGGAGAGGTGAAGAAAAATAGATAAAGTCACTGAGCATAGATGTCATCGTCAGTTTCCACTGAGTACCCTGGCGCATTACTGGTGTGGCTGCCGCCCCATTGGCTTTGAACGGACAGACGGTCGAGGCTTCCGTCGGAAGATTCGCTTCCAACGTTGTAATAATCGTAGTAGCCTGAGCCTCCACTCTGACCACTTAAACGCCTGGTATCATGATTAAGCCAAGAAAAATGCACAAGTATTTCGTTTCTTACTGAGATCCAAAGGCCTCTGTGTCAACTGAATATCGAGCCTGGTAATCTTCAATTGATCCGGGGCGGGAGCCTGCTGGGTGCTGAGACGTGTCTTGTGGCCTTGGTGTTCTAGAAATGATGCAGGTCTGCAGGTCTTCACAAGAAGGATAGATGAGGAAAGGAAGTTACAAGGGCCTAGTGAAGACATCGGGGTAAGTCGGAATAAAGATCACAACAAAAAAGAACGTACTGAAATGCTTGACCACTGTTGTTGTAAACTAGAGCGCCGGGTGGAACATTTGTGATAGGGCCCGTAGCCGACCAACTTGCATTCTGCCAAGCAAACCTAAACAACAACATTCATCATTAGTGAAAATCGAAACGCAAAGAATAGAATAGATAGATGCTCGTTTTGATCCATGATCCTCCCTCCGAAAAAATTTGCTGGATGTACCTGGTGGGAAACCATACCCTGTGGGGTGGCAGCAGGGTGGAACCCCATAGCATTCCAGGGAAGGTTCGCTGCTGGTTGACTGCAAGCCCGGGGTCAATTTGAGTTCCTGCCAAAGACTCAGGAGGAATAAATGCTCGCCTCGAAATCCTGCCGTAAAGATTGTTTTATAGTCAGGTTTACGGTCAAGTGAAAAGCCATAATAAGTACTAACATTGTATGCAGAGGAGGGACTAACGCCGGCGTGCTTTGGAACCTTAGAATAGTAGTAATTATCCGTGAGCTTGTTCGTAATCCGCTGTTTTGACATTTTAATCAACTAAGCTGACCTTGAAGTCGAGAGAAATCTGGATGTCGGATCTCTGCTGTAACGTCGATACTCCGGAATCTGATGCACACTCGTGAGAGCTGACCTTAGTAACTCTTGTGGGTTGCTGGCCTAGAGGTTAGCAAAAATTAAGAGACGCGCCTTTGAGGTACTTACTGCGAGTGTGCGCGTAGATCAGAGTGTGACCAAGACCCCATTGGTCCAAGGTCCCTAAAAGTCGCGTAGGTATTCACCAAAATTCATTTCGGACTGCTGTTCCAGGTACTCACCCCATTGTATGATGAGTTTCAGACGGTCCACCTCCTTGATACGGGTGTTGAAACGGACTTGAAGAAGGTGGTGCATATCTTCAGACAATTGAACCAAGTCATATGGAAGTGTCGTAGCAAAGCGATTATGAAAATTCGAACCTTCCTTGTGGGATCGAAGAGGACGGCACGTTGGCTGAGGGGGGGAGCATGTCCTCTAGATTCTGGATTTCTCTTGCGACATTTTCCATTCTGGATTGTAGAGCGGCGAGGCGTCCTGATTCTGTCTAAGCCACAAATTTCAGTATCGTGAACGCTTGATACTTGATGTCTTTTCTCACCTCATATTGGTACCGGACTGCTGTGTAATCTTCTCTAATTTTCCCAGCTCTGTCACCTGTGAAGACCGCAGCAAAGAAGCGGAGTCTTATGATATGGTCAATGTGTCGCAACAACCTGAGGAAAAGGGTGAGAAATTTCGCATTATAAGTATTCATTTTCTTACTCGTCTACGAGTGGCAAGGTTTCGTGACGAAGCTTCTGATTGGGTTCCGAATTTACGGCTGCCTTCAACTCGAGAAGGTCTTTGCGCACAGCCCATGCAAGATTACTTGGGGAATCGGGGATGTCGGAGGGAGAAGCCTGAGTGTGCTTTTTCAAAAAAGAGGGCGCCATGGGGAAGGAAACTTGTAGTAAATTAACAGCTTTGAAGGTTTAAAAACGAAAAGAGACGATCGGATTATCTCCAAATGGATATACCCTCACAGCAGCTGCTGTTCGAGTCAGAGAAAGTCGAAAATGAGAGATGTCCATATTCGGTGTAGATATACCGAACACTGCAGAATATGAGTCACAAATAACAATAGAAGATCAAATCAGATCACAGAAAGTGCTTTTAATTGGCTCCACACCGCCATCATGAGTTGAGCGAAGATTTATGTCCTATAATGGAGAAATCGTACAAGTTGGCGACCTAAAAAAACCGTCTTGTGCCAAAATATTTGACAAAAAGGCGATCAAGAGAACCAAGCTTCAATTCACCGATCTTCCAGACCCTGTGTCTCAAAGTTAATGGAGTCAGACTGAGTATGAGGGTTTCTAGTTGCTCAGCAGCCTCAGATGCAAGAGGCCTCTCGTCCGGATTGGCCTTAGTCATGATTTCCCCAATGACCTTGAATAGCTCAAGGCCCTCATACTCCTGAACTATCATTCAGATGTCACGTCACAAAGTAAAGGAAAACAGAAATCGCACAGAAATTATTTTGAGGATAACCTTCCCTAGCTGGTAGATATCAGCTTTGAAAGGATCATATGGAATTTCAGGGGTCGCCATTTCGGGCACTGAACGATCCTGGCCAATTTGCCCGATCTCACAGCAATTATTCTTGGAGGAATACCGAAGGGATAAATCAAAGTCGATGAAAAAATACTTGACCAGTCTGACTGACCAGCGATCACGCCAAACGATTGGGTGGACACCGTCAACGGTTCGCCAGTCCCCAAAATGGAAACCAGTTGGTATCACCCGAGAGGTTTCCATCATGAGGTTAAACCAACATGCATCACTAGGAAGGGCATGAGCAAAAATGGGAGCTCTGAGGAAGTAAAAGTATCACACCGATATGCAATGTTATGTTCATGCATGAGCTCGATGCCCTTATAAAGCAGGATTGTAAGTGTACCTCATGGAAGATTGCGCCCGACTCTACCTTTAGCCATTGCTGAAACATTTCGGCAACTTCTCCTATACGTCGGAACGGGAGCCGGGCAAAGCCAAGAAGCATAGGCATGACCATCAAAGCGAATTCGTCAGTGTCCGGGAGGAGTAAAATGTCCAATATCGGTACAGCGCAGTTCCTAGGATCCTGGCGCAAGGCCTCCGATGACAGGTACAACACAATTGGAATCTCTTCTTTCCAAGTGGCGACTTCCTTGATGACAACCCTAGCACCGTCGTGAATTCTGACTGTGTCCATTATTCTGCCAGTCTGACGAACATAAGTTGATACACCTAGATCGGGTAGACAGAACCAAAGGAATGTACGAGTTCGATACCAGTTCGGAGGGCATCCTCCGGCTTGCGATCAAAAATGTCATCGAGTTTTGACCTTTTCTGCCCTGTCCAAGATGGCAACCAATCTGGGTCATATCGCAGTCGTAAACAGTACCCACGCGAGAGAAGAAAAGGCTGCCGCTCCACCCATACCTCCTCGCTGCGACTTCTCATCCAAACTTTCATTTGGTCGATGTTAAGTTGCAATATCACGAAGTTGAAAGCCACTCAAACTCAAATACTAACAAACAATCGCATTCCCTGGCACCTGCAAGGCTGTGACGATTTCGTGACTCCGTGACTGGGAAGTGGCGGAGCTGGTGCTGTCACGTTGGTCACAGGGGTCACATTTGTTGAGGGGAATCGGCACACGCGAACAACAGACCGTTTTAATGACTCTGTATTCGCTTCTCGGGAATCTACGGGATACAGACAGGTCCTTATATACTGTAGGTAGGTAGGGTCAAGGGTAATGAAATAGGGGACTGGTTACTAAGGCCAAGGGGAAGAAAGTCCATGTGAAATGGGAGGTAGGTAGGAAGTGTGATGTCCAGGGGTATGCGACGCGTAAGAGTTTGAGAATGGGCCGAAAGGTGATGAGCGCGTAAGCGCGAAGACGAGAGGATTGGAACCGAGATCTGTGAAGGAGTGATATGTGAGGGTCACGTCCGTTACAAAGGCACCATTCGATATCAAGGTATGTGATACTGCCCGATACTGCCTGTCCATTGACAGTGCCTCAAAGCAAAGGTTGTAGTTGTTCATGGTGACGACTGGTGCTCTGTGATTCGAGACTCAGTGAGCCATGAACTTCATTACCTGATTTGACGTGTAAAGCGAATGTCAGGATATGATGATTGGACGCCGTATACAGTGCAAGACCTTCCACGTCGGATTTAGTGGGCGTTTGATATTGTCAAGACGAGCATGGTGAGGATGCCTGACTCTGGTGTTATCAAGGTTCTCATAACTTTTCCCTGGGTCTACAAGAAAAATTGAAACGGTTCAGCGAGTATATCATCCGACTCTCTGCCAGAGCAGAGGTCGAAGATGGCCCTCTACCCGGAAATCAGAAATTGCGGCCTTCCTGCGTGTCTGTTATCGAAGGTGCTCGGAATGCCAGAACCAAAGGTCTCACCCTCAGCGCCGTTTCTGGAGATATGACCATCAACGATTCGAGCCGCCGGACGACGAACTATGACCCGCTGAATACCACGAATCGGTCGTATAACAACGTGCATAAGAATCATTCAGCAAACGACTTCTGCACACGTCAGTTTTTCGTAATTCTTGAACCCCGACTGAGATTTGAATGCCTATTTCGTGATGTATATAGGCACTTCGAGGAACCTTCACGCGGGCACGGTCAACGACTTTGACTATCAGCGTCAGTGATCTCGACCTCCGACGCCCTTTGCCCGTTCCGGTCCGCCCGCTGGGTTTCCTTATCGACCGCAACCACAGAATTACGGCTACCCATATCAGGGACCAACTGCCGCATACCCCCCCCCCCGAGAGGTTTCCTTCCCGGCCGTCCTCAATGTCAAAGTAGCACTCACTACGCAGCTCCTCAGGAGGAGGGGTCCCATGATGATCTGAACGAGGACGATGAAGATGAGGGGCTTAACCCCCGTGGGCTGGCCCCCTTGTCTGCTGGCGGAGGTGCTGAGTGCTATCAGTGCGGCAAAGTCGGGGACGGTGCCCTGAGTCGACTGGGAGGGGTGGAGGAGGAGGGGGAGGAGGCGTATACTAAGGTAGAGGCCATTATGGAGCGTTTGGTGGTGGTGCACAGAAGACTTGGTATGCTCTCCTCGTTTTAAGCTATCTAGTAGAGATGAATGCTGATTCAGGACAATATAGGCTATGCTTGCGGTGGTGTAGGCCACTGTTCGCGCGACTGTTTCCAGGGATTTAAGTGCTACAACTGCTCTGGCGTCGTGAGTTCCTTGTGTGTTCTCAGTTTTGTAGGAGAGGCAGTTGATGAAGTTGTGTTATTAGGGACACATCAGCAGGGATTGCCCCCATGACAGAAGCGGGCTTGTTATACTCGCGGGTCAGAATGGTGAGCTTGCTTGCCTTATCGCCTTTGACCTTTGCTGATTGACCCGATGCCAGCCACATCTCCCGTAACTGCCCTGCCAGTGGGACAGAGGCCATCTGATTGTAAAGACGTGCCATGATTGACCTGACATTTCGTACTGTACTGATGTCAATTTTCCCTCTATCCAATTCTCTCGGCTTGTCTGGTCTACGTGCCTTTTCTTCTTCCTTCCTTGCGTGTTCTCTCATTGCAAAAGAATTTGTGTACGAACTACAAAACAAAAGCGCTGAGCGTTATCTTTCAAAAGGGATCTATCGATTAATGAAAACGGTGTTTGGAGCTTGGTATTGTTCCATGATTCACTAGCTTTCAAGAAGTTTTGCGCATTGAATGCCAGTACTGCCTTCAACTCAAGAAGGTCTTTGCGCACAGCCCATGCGATCACTTGGGGAATCAGAGTCGTCGGACGACGGAGGGAAAAGTGTGCTTTTTTTAAAATAAAAAAAAGAGGAATATTCGGTGTAAATATACTGAACACTGCAAAGATAAATTAGCACAAGTAACAATGGATGATAGAAAGTGCTTTCAATTGGGTCGATCGACTCCAGAATGTCCGTCAACACCGCCATTGTGACTTGAGAAAGAGAAAAAAAGAAAGAAAAATTATGTTCAGATCCTACAAATTGATGGCCTTAAAAAAACCGTCTTGCACCAAAATATTTGACAAAAAAGCGATCAACAGAACCAAGCTTCAAATCACCAATCTTCCAGACCCTGCGTCTCAAAGTTAATGGAGTCAGACTGAGGATGAGAGTTGCTAGTTGCTCGGAAGCCTCAGATGCAAGGGGCCTCTCATCCGGGTTGGCCTTACTCATGGTTTCCCCAATGACATTAAACAGCTCAAGGCCCTCATATTCCTAAATCATCATTCAGATATCACGTCACAAAGCAAGCACAGCGGAAATCGCACAGAAATTATTTTGAGGATAACTTTCCCTAGCTGGTAGATATCAGCCTTGAAAGGATCATATGGAATTTCAGGGGTCGACATTTCGGGCACTAAACGATCCTGGCCAATTTGCCCGATCTCGTGGCAATTATTCTTGGAGGAATAGCGAAGGGATAAATCAAAGTCGATGAAAAAATACTTAACCGGTCTGACCGACCAGCGATCGCGCCAAATGATTGGGCGGACGCCGTCAACAGTTCGCCAGTCCCCAAAATGAAAACCAGCTGGTATCACCCGAGAGGTTTCCATTATGGGATTGAACCAACATGCATCACTAGGAAGGGCATGAGCAAATGGGAGGTTTGAGGAAGTAAAAGTATCACACCGATATGCAATGTTATGTTCATGCATAAGCTCGCTGCCCTGATAAAGCAGGATTGTAACTGTACCTCATGGAAAATTGCGCCTAACTCTACCTTCAGCCATTGCTGAAACATTTCGGCAACTTCTCCTGCACGTCGGAACGGGAGTTCGTCAAAGCCAAGAAGCATAGGCATGACCATCAAGGCAATTTCATCAGTGTCTGGGAGGAGTAAGACGTCCAGTATCGGTATAGCGCAATTCCTAGGATCCTTGCGCAAGGCCTCCGATGACAGGTACAACGCAATTGGGATCTCTTCTTTCCAAGTGGCGAATTCCTCGATGACAACCCTAGTACCATCGTGAATTCCGACTGCGTCCATTATTCTGCAGGTCTGACAAACATAAGTCGATACACCTAGATCGGGTAGATAGAACCGAAGGAACGTACCCAGCTCGTAGGGCATCCTCAGGCTTCCGATAAAAGAGGTCATCAAATAGTATGAACTTTTCCGCCCCGTTCAAGATGGCACCCAATCTGGGTCATATCGCGGTCGTGAACGGTACCCACGTGAGAGGAGAAAAGCCTGCCGCTTCACCCATACCTCTTCGCGGCCATTTCTCAGCCAAGCTTTCATTTGGTTGATGTCAACTTGCGATCACGAAGGTGAAAGTCTTCACCCCAAACCAAAAACTAACAAATAATCGCATTCCCTGGCACCAGCGTCTGCATCACGGATGCGTTGTTGAGCCGGAAGAATTCTTGTGAGGTACCTTTTGGGTGTCTTGCTTGCCCTCCTGGGCCGGCCTCTCGGCGGTTGGGTCCATGTTCAAGCGCAAAACAACGAGTTATTTTACGACCTATGAATACCTTGTCGAAGGCAATATCCAACGTGGTTCGCCCCACTTTAGCAGACAAAGGAGGGTGTTTTTTTTAAAGCACTGTCCCAACAAGACTCGGCATCCTGGTCTCTGGCTGGACAAGCACTGGATCTTGATGTGCAATTCTGGTGGAGATCGGGGCGAAGATGTTGAAAAATACCTGGCTTGCCTGCTTCACAGTTTGCTTTCACTTCGCATTTCGAAAAAACGGATAAGTGCCCGGCGAAACAATTCGTGGAAAGCCTGGACGGAGCTCAGAAATTTATTTTGCGCCGTACTTAGCCCAAGTCGAGCCATTGCAGAAATCGGAGGACATCACCCCTCTCAAAGGCCGCCTGGTCAACGCCTTCCGTTTAGACATCCAGGCCTCTGGATAGGCCACGCCTAGTCTCCGATCTGTTTTGGTTCACTGTACCGGTGGATGACCTCGAGAGACCGGTCGTCAACAGTGTTAAAACACGGCACCAGCAATCCAGCAGTTTTTTCGTTGGAGGCGTATCTTGAAAATACTTAGTGTCTTCACAACGCCGGATCCAGTTGTACAAGAGTTGTAGTACAGAAATTGCCCTTCCATATTTCGTGATCACAGGTGAGCGTCGCTTTCAAAATGTTGTGGTGAATGTTTTGAGACAAATAACATAAGAACGTGCATATTTGTTGCAGTTGCGTCATCTCACACAATTCATCTCAGCATAACCTTGGCATAACCAGCGCCCTTCAGATGATTACAATTCGCTGCTTCCTATTCTCATCATGTCGGACTCTACGATAGCCTCCGACTTCTCAAGCATCCCAATTCTCGACTATTCTCTACTTGACTCACCATCTCAACGACCCAAGTTCATCGCGCAACTTCAACACGCCCTCATCAACGTCGGCTTTCTCTACCTCTCAAATCACCCCGTATCAACAACCGACATCGATTCTCTAACCCAATACATCCCGAAACTCTTTGCGTTGCCTCAAGAAGCCAAGGACAAAATTCGAATGGCGAATTCGGAGCATTTTCTGGGGTATTCGAGGTTAGGGGCCGAGTTGACGAAGGGGAAAGTGGATCAGAGGGAACAATTCGATTTTGCGACGAGGCATGTTTGTAGGTGGAAGGAGGGAGATCCGGAGTATTATCGTCTTTGGGGCCCTTCGCAGGTGTGTATGTTTCGTTATCACTTTCGAATGAGTCTTTTGTTCACTCCGCGCGACCCAGTGGCCTGATGAAGACCTAATTCCGGGATTTAGGGATACTATGGAACGTTACCTGGACCAGGTTCAAGACCTCAGCTACAAGCTTAGTTCCTTACTCGCAGAGGCGTTCGGTCTCCCTCCGAACGGGCTTGCGCACTTCTATGACACCGACGAGCTAATGCAACATCGGTCGAAGATTGTACGGTATCCCGTGGTCAACGAAGGTGATGACGACCAGGGCGTGGGTCCCCATTACGATGGGGGATTCCTAACATTCGTTGAGTGTCTATTCGTCATTTCCCATTTGCACGCGGTATTTACCATGGACGCTATTTTAGCTCTTACAAGCGTCGCCACACCGTGGCCTACAAGTCCAGAATCTTTCAGGACAGTGGATTGACGCACCGCCCATACCGGGCACTTTCGTTGTCAACATCGGAAAAGGTAGTTTCTCCTCTACCTTGCAACTGCCTCTCGACACACTGACTATCATTTCTTGTATCAGCGTTGGAATTCGTAACACGAGGATTGGCTCGCGCAACGTCCCATCGTGTTATTTCGCCTAAAGGGTTGACAACACCTCGATATTCGGTGCCCTTCTTTCAGAGCATTGGCTTGGGTGTGCAACTTGCGAACGAGGTGCTCGATTGTAAGATATCTTTTTCTTACAATCTTTCCTTTCGAGTGATATCGATTGACGAACGCTACAGTCCCTCCGGAAATTTTGAAACTTCGGGACCAAAGGGGCAAGGTAGCCGCGACTGACTGTAAGACTCCCTGTTTCGCGCCTGAAGGTTTAGAACACATGGTCACATCCCTTTCCAGCCGTCAATTTCTCCGAGTTCGACAAAGAACCGTCGGGCAAAGTCAGCCTCATTGGACGTATAAAGTTTGTGTCTGAATCATCATGTCAATTAGCTGTATACTAAACGGTATGTTTTATTTCACTAGGAGCCATCCGGATGTTGGAGAGCGACATTATCCGGAATTGTTCAAACAAATCTTTCCTCAAGGTTTCACAGGCAAAGGGAGTGCATACTAAATTCACTAGCATATTTTGCTATTTGATTTAAATCGTCCATGTATTGCGGTATCTGTCATAAGTAGCTTATATGTATAATAAGCAAGTAAGTCTGGAGAAAACCGTCAGGGAAGATGAGGTTGGATACGTTAAGTGGGTTGACCGGATTGTGTGCAGGTGGGCGTCGAGTTGGCTTTGGGCTGCTGTTCGAGTAGTCATGATCAATATCCAGGTCCAGCGCTTGCATAGACCAAAGTAACTCCGTTATTGCTTCGTTTCCTACGCAGAATACAGGTAGAACGTTCCCGCCGAACATGACGCCACCCGAGCTGGGTGAAGTCAACAAGCAGTCCTCGAGTAATTCGGTAAAGCCTGATGACTGCGCATCGCGATCCTATGCAGCATTCTACAACCGGATAGTGAATGTAAAACGCTATGAATGACGTCGGTGATTCTGGTGCAGAGCGGAGAGGGTCATGAGTAAGGAGCATGAATGTCATTTTAGGAGATGGAAAGGCAGGGTATGAGGAGGGACATTGCGACCACATCTTCCATTGTCGGTTACTGTCAACACTGGCACCAAGGACCGCGATCGTTGTAGCCGGTATCGGCTCTGGCAGGCATTTCGGGATCTTGACCAGGGAAAGCTTGATCGACGTCGAAATGTGACCACCAAGAAGCCAGCACGACTTGTGCAGGGAAAATCAGCCAACCCCGCCACCACCCATGTGGGGTATCAGGAGATCTTATTATCAGCATCCATGATAGCAAACCCCGTCACACCCGCCGCCAACGCAAAGCACAAAACCATCCCCAATGCAATGAAGCAGCGCCTGGCCCACATGACCTCCACCACCCGCACATGAGCCATGAACGCCGCTTTCTCCGCCTCCGTTCGTTGTTGTCCCTCCAACCATGGATGTCGGTAGGGATACGGATACCACTTGCTGGGGCATTGGACCACAACGAAAGAGGCGCCCAAGATCCACATGGGCGGACAACCTGTGCAGAGCTGAGTGAGTAAGACGGAGGCGGGGAAGCAGAAGAAACGAACAGAAACCAATTTTGAATAAGATCATGGGAAGTGTCCTGGGTTCGTGACCTCCGAATCTTGGAGGAGAGGGTCTCGAGGTGTAAGCCGGCAGCCTCTCGCTAACGTTCCGATATAGTGGAAGATCGGAGTCGTCCCCTTGAGTGCATGAGATCGCAGGGGGATGCAGACTGGCAGCGTCTTCCGTAGTTGCAGAGGCACTTCCATTCTCAAGTGCACTGTAGTCGGGAATTGCCAAATGTGCTGGTGGGGGCTCTATTGCAACGGCAGCAGTGGTTGCGTTTGTTGACGCCCGTTGACCGTCTTTTGGAACGGCGTACAGTGGTAGTGGAGGGTACATAGCCGGCGCTGCACCTATGAGGGGGTGAGCTGAGAATGGTGTCCATCCAACTGCAAGATAGAACACACCAAGTGGAATTGAACGTCAAGATCGCAGGTCTTGGATACCAATATATCAATGCCTGTCGAGGTCATGGGGCGGCGGACATGACAAGGAGGAGAGTCTAGGTTATGTCGAGACTTTACTAAGAATGTCTTGAAATTCACTCTCAAGGTCCAGCCATGGAGGTTAGCTTGGCGGGCGACTGACAAGAATAGATTTCCTGATTTAGCACGTATCCCAACACGAACGTGCGTCATCATGTGCACAAGTGACACCTTGCGCGATCGCATTTCCGCACACATACAGGCAACGGGATGGAGCGAGGGTGACGGGAAGGGAGAAAATTTATGAAACCTTCTCCTCGTTCGTCCTTCGCATCTGAAGCTGCCGTCGTGTTGTGCGTGCTCGAGGAAACGGAGGTTCAAGTGGTGGAGGAAATGGAATGCGCGAAGAAATCTGAAGAGTGTGCTTCTTCTAGGGTCAAGGACATGGCACATGATACCTATTCGTCGTCATCGTATCCCTTGGGACCGTATCCGAATATTGACGTGGCACAGGGAGAATATGGAGGCATACGATCGCTATTTGAGACTGTGCACACTGGTGCCCGTCATAGTACTATGATAAATTGGATGAGACTGGTAGACGCACTTCAAATGGCTTCAGTTGTGACTGTGTTGGCGCAGGCGCTGCCAGCTTCACCCAACAGCGTCGCGTAATTTCAACAACGGACGGTCATACACAACGGTACTGTTCAACTCTCATCTGGGTATCAGTAACTGAGTTCCTTGGTCGTGCTGAAGGAGAAAGATTCTAAATAAACTATAGATGACTTTGACGTACTTGCTTACCTCGATAATTCCGGACCTATCCCGTATTGAGGAGAAAACTTGGAGAAAACTTGAAGGAGGAGTTGAAGTTGAAGTTTGGTATGAACGTCGGAGTTTGAAAGTAACAGGCGTTGAGAGAAAGGCTCGACACCAACTCGACAACAACTACGTACATATTTTCAGAATCTGTCAAGAAAAGGTTTGGAGAAGGTCTTAGTAAAAGAAAGTCCTAGTTATATAAGCCCACCGCGAGGGTCGAACTCGCAGCCTTCAGATTTACAATTGTAAAAGTCTGACGCTCTATCCGATTGAGCTAGGCGGGCAGTAAAGTATCTTTGCCAAACTGCCAGAGATTGATGTCAGGAGTTTGTTGATCTCTTATTGCCGACGCCCCTAATCATAGCTTTGATCAATTTCTTTTTCATGCACAGTAGCTGCGGTATTCGCCAGAGCATTGGGAGTTGTGATTGAATATAAAACAGTCCGTCAAACGTTGTACTTCTTGACGAAAATTCGGAGTGGGTCAACTCAACAAAACGAACACACATCAGCAACCATCGTCATATCTCCGTCTCAAGTCTCGATCCTTAGCGCAAGAGCCCAAAGACACGAACCTTTCGGATGCATTGCATTTGAAATTCGTCTTTTCAGCATGACTCTCGTAGAAAGAAAGAGTGGTCCAAGCTGATGATTAAGAGGGTCCTTCCATAGACCTGTTCCTGCACTCTGCACAAACGATATTGCAGACGTCATTGTGGGTCCGTAAAAGACTGTAAAAGGTACAGAGAATCCATATTCGAACCCAGTTTCATCCCAGCGACGAGCGGAAGTATTTTCAAAAATTCTGTAATCTCCGTCACATTGCATGAGGCGTTGGTGAGGCGATATCGACGTAGTTCTACCTCACATAGATCAGGTCAGCCGACTCTGAGGGGAGGGTTTTTCATGCCCTCTGATGCGCCGAGAACGGACGGGTCAGAATTGATAAATGGGATATGAAATTCGGGGTATGACTGTTTGAAGATACAGTGGCAAAAAAAAAGCAGTCTGTGTTAATCGTGCGATCGCGGGAACACCCATCAGCCCAAAATCGCTCTTATTTCTTCGTCCTGGAAGGAAAGGAAAGGAATTAACGGGTGTCATTGAACGGGGGGGAATATCTACCTTTCGGAGGCGGGCCGCATCGCAAAATTTCTCAAGATCGCGTAGCAGCTCCTTCACCTCGTCGGTTGATGGGTTAGGCGATACTTTCAAGGTTTCGTAACGTGTGCACAATCTAGCAAATGATACCGTCAGTGGGGGGACTAGTGCAAGAAAAATTGCTCTAGGGGCGTACTGTGCATATCGTCCTTCATACTCGTCGTCTCTTGTATATTCTCGTAATCGATCCATGTGGCTACTGGTCTCCACTAAGACCCTCGTAACGTCAACTTCGAGGATGTTGGATGCTGAACGACCAAGAGAGGGTACGAATTTGCGAATGGCTTCCATGGTTGCTGGTGTGCAGAGGTGAGAAATCGTGGGGGTGCTTGTAGAGAATACAACAAGAGTCAAGCCTTTTTAACGAGTTCTGTGCACGGCCATCCTAATCCGGACGCAAATGTCAAAAGTTTGAGTGACCAGCATCAGTCAGCCAGGAGCCTTTTGAAAAGAATTCTCACGAAGAACAACAAAAGGAGTGCGTGCGAGACGGAAGAGCCCGCTGGTGCGCTATTCACCGAAGTTGCGAGTCGGAAGAGCGTTTTCGCGTCTGAGTTATATAAACTGCTCGGAGAAGGGAAAATAATTCTGGGAGCCGACTCAAGCCGCTGAAAGTCCTTGAATAATCAATAGACCAAACCTCGAGAATTATCCTGCTCTGAATAAATGAGGGTGACCTTTCCGGCGAGCTCGGTGTCAAAGCAATTAAAGATGTGGGTCCATGTGGGTCCACGTAATTTTCAACCAAACAACCGTCACCCGCAAGGCATCCTTCAAGCTTTACAAAAAGCGACGACAACCGTGGCCGAAATGCGGAACAAGGGCATAACGAAACCAGTCGGATATTTGTTTCAAACACGAATTGGATCGTTCGCTACGATCGGGCATCAGCACCAGAGCCTGCGGTGAAGTCATGGGAGCACGTTGACCAAACGTTGACAGAAGTCTGTTTCGCCAAGTATGAAACTCCATTTCTACAGGGATACCGCGCGAGAACCCACTTGATTTGAACAGGGAATCGAGGAATTGACTTATCGGAGCGGGAAGCGCTTCCTACGGTCGTCGATGACGAGCGTTGCAAGCAGACGCCCTCCCCCGCAAGTAAGGATTCTTTGCAGGTGTCCGCTGCCCAAGATTGTTCGTTAAACCCATCTTTGCCTTTCAAGAGGAACCCGGGCGCTGCATAAAAGCAATTTGTAGCCGGATATCGAGTCACCAACATAGCAAGGGCGTAGGCTAGACATATGTTGGGCCGTTCCCCGGAGGCGAGTTACGTTCCTAGAATCCCGGTAAAACGATTTGTGTATTTGCTGATGCCAATGCTCGTTGCATTACGCAGGTCAAACGATGGATTGCCAGAGATTGTACGACTTGTATAACCGATCACCAGAGCTGGCATCGTGTTTGCGGAAGTACACCTTCCAATGAATGAGCGCATCATGTCCTTCCGGCTGAGGAACCCTTGAAGACGCAGGTGTGGCCCAGGACTGCTTCCTACGGTTGGCATCCTTCAGATTTGAAGGATCCATTCTGTTGAACGGATCCAGCGCCACCGTTTTCAAATTGCTGCTGCAGGGGACTCCACGAGGGATTCGTATCGACCCTTTCGTTCCAACGCTTCCGCGAATAATTTCATGTCTCAGTAGTCATGTGCGCGTGAATACACCTCAATCCCTGATTGACAGTCGTCGCAGGCAACTACTGCCCGTTTACAGAAACGGGGACGACAAGACAACGAAGGCCTCCTGATCCTGGAGAGGAGGGCAATGGACAGTAGAAACTTTCTTCGTGCATATGTCTCAAAGATCCCTCGCGTCTTTAGGATAAGACCGATCCAGATTCCTTGACCTACCGCTCTTGAAGCTTGAAGACTGGAGTGGGATATGGGGTCCGGATTTCTGCGCTGCCTTGAACCAATGTTTCTAGTGGTTGAAAGGGGGATTTGGCATCGAGTTGAGTGAGGGAAGGGCTCGTGATTGTTGTTGTACCAATCAGATTTGGAGAACAAAGGAGGACTTGGAAATTGCCTCCGCATTGAGTGGCAAAACGCGCTACCCGGTGCGACTTTCTAAAGTCAGCAATTACCGAGTTGCGTTGCTCACTTGACTTTGGAAGTCGGAATGGGAGACTTGCCGGAGCCAGTTTCTTTTGGGGCTGGTAGCATTTTCTGAAGACTGAGCGTATCATGATTCAGGTATGTACAATCGGCTCTTTTGTCGCCTTCGATACCCTGACTTTCGCTGATCGTCTTTAGTGGTTCTACCGCTCCCCCATCCCGTCCTAGTAGTTCAGCTCGACCGGGAACGTGCAGAGTTGGCGAAAGTATGTGCTGCAAAGAAGACCATAACCGATGAAATGCAGCACTTGAGGTTGGGCTCGAAACGCTTTCTCAAGCGTTGTTTGAGGAGGTGCGCAGTTCAGCAATGTATTTCATTCTTCCCTTTCACATCTCTCGCAGGCGAACAAAATGGCTGCGACGGAACTTATGAAGCGGGCGGAGACGGAAGAAAAGCTCAAAGAACTCTGGCACCCAAGGGGATGGATGCAACGGCTGATAAGGTTGGTATCGGAGTGTAGGTTGCGAATCTCCCTCGTCAAGCGAGGATGGGGATGTAGAGAGGGGGACGGTGGCCGATATAGGTTCAGGATAGGGCGTGTTGACGGGGTAAAGGAGGGAGGGATGGATAATTTAGATCAAGGGACTCTGGCCTCGACTTAACGGCGATTTCAGACGATGAGCTTGTATGTGATCGTGGACAAGAAACGAGGTCTTCTCCTCTGGGGAAGCCAACCTTTTCGCCGTTCGGTGAACCGAAGAGTGGAGTTCACCCCTTCAGTCACGCGAAAGGCACTGCTTGGTACCTCCTTCTCTTCTCAAGATCTCATGGTCCATCCCAACTTCTGACTCTGCCCCGGCACTACTTACAGTAACTCTGTCTTTCATTGTTCAATTTTATGCTCAAATTTACTGCTCCACCATCCATTCACCGTTTTCTTACAGTCCTCAGAATGACATTACTCGACTGTACAACTCTACATGCCTATGAGGCAATAGCCTATCCTTTTCATCCACTCTTCAATCTCAAACGCCGGCTCAGCCATATGTCCAATCCACCCCTTCCAACTCTCCATATCCCGGTCCTTCTGCGAGGCATATACCATGCCAAGATACTCGAACCACGGCGGATAAAACCCTGAGAACCCCCAATCAACGACCCATAGCACATGCTGATCGTCTAGCAGCAAGTTGCGCATGTTCAAATCGTTGTGCGTAAAAACCAACGAGGCAAATGCCGAGGTATCAAGGGGTTCGCAGTTGAGGGGAGGTGCCTGACCCAACGACGCACGGTGTTCAGCGTGGCCATGTTCTTGTCGAAAATAAGCCTCGAGGGCGGAGATTGTTGGGAATGGACCTCTCGGGTCAAAGCCGAACTGAAGGCCGTCGCACCAGAAGGGTTTCGGACCTGGCGGACCAGGAGTGTTGTTAGACGGAGGGTACTGAACGCGTTGAAGCTGACGGAGGTAAAGGCGCATTGTCAGAACGACTTTGAGCTTCCCAAAGAAAGACAACGAGGGCCAGGCGACCCGGAGCTGTTGGGCATTTTGCACGAAGTCCATGACTATCAGACCATCTCCTTCTGGGTTAAGATGTCTTATGATGCGTCTCTTTCGTGGGGTAACAATTGTGGTTTGCTTCCAGATGAGGTCCATGGCGAGTGCTTCAGAGATGGTAGATTCCCACCTGTGGCAGTGTTTCACGACTGTGTCTTCTGAAATCTGGACAATCTTGTCGTCTGTACTCTCGAGATATGGTGTAGAATCGAAAGCGCGGATATCTCCTCGTCCGTCCAGGTATCAGATTCTGGGCTCTGGCATCGCTGCATGAGTATTGTATACAAGGGCTGAGCTTGAGTGGTAGGTAACTTACTCGAATGGGGGGTGCTTGGCGAAGCAAGTGCCAGTAAAGCCAAAACGGGCCATCCAAGATGGTCAGAGCAGTGGCCATTAGATGGAAAGACAGGACGGACAAGAGTCGACACACACACACAGAAATGAAATACGACACACGTGATGAAGAACGACACACCGTCCAATGTTCAACACATTGATGGCAAATGTCGGTCACTTATTCAGGAATGTGTGTCGAATCTTATCCATACTATTTCGATAAATTCCGCCACAATGTTCCCTTTTTGGATTGAAAATCTGATGTGTGACGGCCAAATTAGATATTGAGTACATATACACCAAAAATTCTGTGGTTAAGTCGAAATCAGCCTCTCCATGCTCACGTAAAATTTGACATTATAAGTTTTATTCCTTACACTACTTACTATACATTAAGTTATACATAGATTCTAAGAGAGGGAGCAACATCGCGACCCCGGAATGTACCTACCAAGAATTCTCACCGTCGACAGCCTAGTTTCGGCACATCTGGGTGTCAACATGTGGTCTCCGCGGCCGTGGTCGAGTGAGACGCAGTGGTGGCCTCATCGGAGAGGGCGCTGGCGTTTTCGCTGTCATTCGGGGCTGTTTAGTGGGGAGGCGCGGGGTACGCACCTGGCTGTACGGTGCTGTATTGCCTGTTGGTTCGCCAAGTGGCGCTGGGTCCTCGTCGATGGGCCTCAGCACTGGATTCCGTCTGTTGGGGCATTTTCGTGAGCCGATTCCGTCAGCGTGGGTGGTTTATCCTGGGCGCTGAGTTGTTGCCGTGGGTAGTTGGGTGGTTTTGTGGGCGTTTTCACAGGCGGTTAGTCGTAGTCCACAGGTTGCGTTTGCGAGGGGAGTTGATTTGGGGGCGGACGTGGCGTGAGGTGGGAGGAGCGCCCGGCTTTGCCCTGCTGGGCATTCGCCAGGTAATGGGGGGTGGGTTGTTAGCAAATACGGGGCTGAACAGAGTCGGAACTCACCTGAAGGGGCCCGTAACCGTTCTCTCGGCCCTTGTCGGCCATAGCAGGGGTGCGAGGTGAGGAGGAAGAGAGCGTGGGGGGTGGTGGGGCACAGGCAAGCAAATGGTGGTCGTGGTGGTGATGAGAAAGCGGTCGTGACCAAGTCGTGACAGCGTTCATCACGCTCGTAACGGAGTTTCGAATTTATGCACGGCACACTCGAAAATGCGAAATCACGAAGAACGACACATTGTTACCAGGTGTGTCGCTTCTCACATGATGTGTCCTACTCCTCATCTGTGTGTGTGTGTCTCCTCTTGTATATCCTCATGGAAAGAGATACGGTCAAGCCTGTGCAAACTACTCAGGATGTTACTCTGACAGAATGAGAGCAGCCTTACATTTTTTTGTGTAGGCTCGGTGCAAGTTGGGTGCAAGCCTTCTGTGGGTCCCAAAAGGCGGGCCGCCAGTACTAGTAGTGAACTCGCCAAGGGATCTGTCGTTTGTGCATCCGTGGTATGTATTTCAGAATAGTGAATGTGAAGTTGATATATTTCACAGTTGACTTTTTTGTCGCCTTCGACACCCACACTTTCTTCCGGTGTCGTTCTATAATTGAGCTTGCGTGCTCTGAGACTCGCCTGCTCAACCAGAAACATCGATGCCGAAACAATACTGTACTAATACGACCATCTCTTCTGGCCCTTTTGGGCGTGACACGTTTTGACCATCTCTTCATGACTTCAATATCCGATGTGATGTGTGACGAAGAGTATGAGCTCTTCGTCCGAACAGGGGCCATCGTCAATTTGAAATTTAAAACAATGTTGTACATGCAGAAAAATCTTAGATGGTGGGACAAATCTTGTTAGAAGTAGATGAAATATGCCGAGTGCTGTTTACATGGCTAGGGCGCCGCAGGCACCAGAAAAATTAGAAAAAATGGATATTTTACAGCTAACTGCATAATCGTAGACCACATCTGAAATTTCACTTTGCGCCTTTGGTTGTGCATAAACATCCGTTTTAGGCCGTGGCTATGTAAACCATGATGCCCATATGCGCGCGGGCTGCCTATTGCTCCACATTCTAGCACCGGTAGTTGCTCCAAACGCTCCAATCCCGCCCCGCACGTCATAAGGGTGGAGCGGTTGGAACTTGGAAGGGCGTTCTACCTAATATGGTTGTTTGTACAAATAAAAGCGCACAAAGTAAAATTTAGATATGGTCTACGATTATGCAGTTAGCTGTAAAATGCCAGGAATGGCTTCAAAAGCCAGTGTGATGTGTGACATCACGCTCACTTCACTTCATTCAGAGACCTCTGTGATGCGTGATGCGAAGGCATGGTCGTATTAGTACAGTACCTGCTTTTAAGTATACTGCAGCTTTCTTGGGATTGAATGACGCACCTGTCAATGAAGACTTGAGACTGCGTGATAATGCCCAACGCTACAGCTGTAACGATGATTACCGAGGGTGCGCTACGTTTTGCATGATCGTTCTAATGCTTTCTCCTGTATTCTGTTTCGTTGAATATAATGCTGTATACCCTTTTGATCAGGATTTTCTCCTCGTATCGACGTTCTTCTTGAGGTGATATTGATTGAGTAGATACGTACAATCTAGTCCGATCACGCGATTCTGCTTCTACCGAGCTGCGAGCACCTGGTTCTTTTCTTCCATCACCTGAACTCTCCGCCCATCGTTGCTGCCGCCTTCTATCTAGGATTCATGCTACACTTCCCATCGAGCTTGCAAGCGAATGGTCAGGCTAGACCGCAAAGTTTGAACGCGACCCAACAGAAGTCATCGTCGGATCCTCTTTTTCTGAAGATTGAGGAGGAACTCCACGATGCACGTCGGGTTAGGACACATGGGCAGGAGGACGACCTCAAACTAGCGCTAGACATGGTGATCAATCGGGTGGCAGAGATGGTGCGTTCTCTTTTTCATACCAGCCGAATCGCTCATGACCCGCGTACAGAGTACGCTTCTCAGCGATGCGTACAAGTCTCAAGCTGAGCTTGAAGTGCAGCTGAACGTTGCTAAATCCAACCTTCAGTTAGTTATCTCAAACAACGAGATGCTAGAGGATGCTTTGAAACGCGAGAGCTCAACCCAATCACGCGACGTGGGTTGGCGTCGGACCAGTGGCAGGGACGACAATCGTTCAACTCTAGAGCGGTCGCAGTCGATGGACTATGCCTACTCGGTGGAGACTCCGTCGCCGCCAGTCTCAGCCAACACAGACAATCGCTTTTTCAAGTTCCGTTTCAGTAGCTCTACAGCTCCCCCATCCCGTCCGAGCAGTTCAGCCCGACCGGGAACGTCATCAAGTGCCCTGTCATCACCGTCGATGCCTTCCCTCCCGTCACATGTCAAGGAGCTGGAGGAATTGACTGCAGAATTAGCCAAAGAACGTGCTGCAAAGAAGACCATAATCGATGAAAAGGCAGCACTCGAGGCTGAGCTGGAATCGCTTTCTCAAGCGTTGTTTGAGGAGGTGCGCAATTCAGCAATGTCATTCATTCTCACCGCTCACATCTCTAGCAGGCGAACAAAATGGTTGCGACGGAACGTATGAAGCGGGCGGAGACGGAAGAAGAGCTCAAAGAGGTCCGGCAAGAGAAGGAGGCGTTACGCAGTGCCCTTCGTCTTATTGAAGGGGAAAACTTCACTCTTCGGTCCACCGACAATGTTGGCTCCCCCAAGCTTGAAGACCTCGTTGCTCGTCCACGATCACATACTCGCTCATCATCCGAGATCGGGGTTAAATCGAGGCCAGAGTCCCTTGACCTAGAGCATTCATCCCTGCCGCCTTTACCCCCGTCACCATCGCCATATCCTGAACCTATGTCGGCCACCGTCCCCCTCTCATCATCCCCTTCCTCGCTTGACGAGGAAGATTCGCAACCTACACCCCGATACCAGCCTTATCAGCCTTTGGAACCATCCCCTTGGGCTGATGTTCCATCCCAGTCGTCATCAATGTCGTCGGTTACAACCAAGCCAAGTTCATTCGCTGCTGTGTTTTCTACCACCCGATGACTTGCCGCTCCTCTTTTGCCCTCGTCTCCGTCGTATTTATACACAAACCACGACACACGATGCACCACCGTCATACCCTGCTATGTGACATCCGCCTGCATACCCACTCACGGTTAGGAAAGGTCGCTTAGTCAATCTCTTAGCTGATGCATCTTCATCCCGCGAGAGAGCTGCGCGGCTTTTGTCGGTTGGATACCTACCCAAGATCCAGGTTCGGACGTACACTCTCCGTGGTTGGAATACCTGCAGCTACGACGTCCCTCATGTCGTTTACGTTGATTTCTCTCCCTGATAATGTATTGTCATTGGTTCCTGAAAACTTTTCTAAGGCCACGGAAGCGTATTCATTCTCTACACTCAACTATTGACGTTCTTTGGTTGCTTTACCTTCTATCTCACTTCTCTGTAGGTCATATGCATGCTCTCGTATTGGCTCCGCACAGATTCCGAATTGGTCGGTAGGTCGCCCTCGGGACGTTTAAACAAAGCCTTACCATAGCCCATAGGCGCGGCTCGATGATAAAAACTAGAAAGCCTTGGACAATTGGTACGTCGGTGTTATTGTCAATCGCGCCATTCATGATCGTTTGATGCAGTCTTAGGTGAATAATGGCGATTCTTCGTTTGTATCTACCAACCTCTCCCAATAAGGTGCATTGTAACCTGTAAGTCAAGCTCAGTGAAAAGAGGGCGAACATTCTTCGGCCGGTCTCCACATTGATTTTGGGCACAGAACAGAACATCCGAGTTCGCGAAATCCAAAGAAGGAATCCTACGACAATATTCTATCGCAGGCCCGGGGTCTTCGACGAATAAGTAAAGATACTCGGGAGGTTTTGCGATAAGTTGAAACATTCCCTATTTCACGCTTCAAATCGTCACCATCACGTGTTCCGCCTTTCTTCGACGAGTTACTCTTCACCTCAGCTTAATCGCGTGAACCTGACTGTCCTTGGCCTTTCGATTCCTGCCCCATCTTTGGGTTCAACACTTGGCGCCAAGTTAAAGAATCCGAAGGGAATGAGGGACAGGGAGGACGGTGAGTAGCTCCCTCTAGGTTACGTTTGCTTTACCTCTTTGCATTCTCCATGCCAGTCCCTTTGGCTTACCTGATGCGCACCCGCTAGCCTGTTCTTACCCTCTCGTTGAAGATATGAGTTACCTAACATTGGACGGTGCGATGGTGAACTCTAAATATGGTGTTTCTGGCATCATCGGGACAACATCCACTTGATAGTGATGTCCTGGGGAATCACTTGGCAGGTAGCGCAGGACAATGAGGCATGCACAGGTCACAAGTGAACCGAACGGCGATCTCTTGTTCCGCCCATTTCTTCCCCTTCGCCCCCTAGGTTATAATCTATTGCTTCTAATCTCACCCTCCAGGTTCAGAGCGTCTCGCGACCAAGTTATGTACGGCAGGTCGACTTTCAATGACGGACATGGCAACGACCCAGGTTACCACTTGCTTGTACTAAATTTGTACTTCATAGCAACAAAATGCTCCTCTTATGTATCGTTTATCAATAAATGTGTCAAAGGCAGCTTTATGGCAACGAGTGAAAGTAGATACAAACACAGCGAGACAGGGTCCAAAACCTATTTTTGAAAGAGGCAGACGGGATGGATGAAAGCATGTCACAGAGGTTACAAGTGTACATGTGAAGAAAATGGAAAGTGGATGAGTAAGAGAAAGGGGCATAGCCGACACAAGTTGGGTTTTGAGTCCTGATGTATCCATTGATATACATCAGTTCCAACCAGGATACACGCAACGCCGTCAAAAGATTTTCCCGCCTAACCATATTCATCCCCCAAACAAGTATTTGTAACCGCGCTGTGGGAGAACCTTGTACATCTAACGAACAGGAGGTACGGGGAGTCAAACAGATTGCAAACAGACACCACTCAATCATGCAATTATGAAATCACCCCATAGGTATCCAGCTATGAAACCATGTCATCTATAAGCCTTAGCCGAGATGAACAAAATGCCTTTGTCGCAAAGTCTAGGTAAACCATTGAGGATGGCTTCCAAGATTTCATTGTTGTCGGGTTCCCCAATATCGTCGTCATAACGAAAGGAATATTTGATGTCGATGTCAACTCTTTGTAACCGTGAACCAGTCGGATGAGTTACAATGGAGTCTAGATTGCGCCAAACAGCATCGCGACCTAAATCCCAGTAAAATGAATCATGATCGAAGGAGTTATCATTGCCTTGAAATAAGATGTTGAGCTTGAGATGTTCAAGTGTGGCAGGGGATGTGAGACTGGCACAAAGAGAGGACATCAAAAAGGACAAGATGGCGAAGTCAGACATGGTTGCGGAGGATGGGTCGATGTTGATTTCAAGAACGCGCAGATGGGACATGAATGGCAAGAATCGCCCCTCCGCCGGACAATCTATGTCCCGAGGACCCGAATTAGTGAGAAATAAACATATTTAGAAAATCTCCTACCACGCGTTGGGTCTGAGAAAGACCATACACATTGGTCAACCACCGTATGAGAAGCCGCTGTCGTCACTCCCTCCGGTGTCGGCGAGCTTGGCTGCTCGCCACCAGAACAATCGAACGAGACTGCCCTTAGATACAATTTCTTAAGATGGACAATGCCATGGAAGAGGGTAATTGGTGGATTGTGGACGTTTCTGAGGTAGAGGATTTTGAGAGTGGGTGAATGTATGAGAGTCAAGAGCCCATCGTTCACTGGTTCACCGCTAAAGCGACTCCAATTCAGAGTGGAGAGCGTGAGTTCTTCCAGTTGACAGAATGGGAGTTGGAGAATGGCAAGTAACGACTTGTCAAAAGTAGGTTTGGGACCCCAATGTTGGTGAGTGACAAATATCCTTCTGACAAAGGATTGATTGACTGGATTTTGGATGAGGGCTTGATGAAGCTTGGCGCAAGCTTCAACGTTGGATCCGAAACTAATGCTGTAAAACAGCTGCTTGCGACTTGGTGGAAGGAACGAGGAAGAAACCAGGGCACATCGCTTGATAGAACGCTTGTCATCGCTGAGTGCCGCAATGACGCTGTCGATGATATCTTGTGGGATTTCCACTGAATTTGCCATGTAGGCTGCGGTCATCGATTAAGGACGCACAAAGCAGCAAAGCTGGGCGCAGTCATGCCATCGAGATTTGAGTGTCCGCTTCGGTCCGCCATCCAAGTAAATACTTATATGTTGAGTATATGCGTCCTGTTGGCCCGTCAAAGAGTTCGAAAATCTTGCAACATATATATATATACATGCATGCTCCGGTACGAGTGAAAATAAATAGAAACGCGGCGGAACAGGATCCAAAGCCTATTTTTAAAAGAGGCGGACAGGACGGATGAAAGCATGTCACAGGGGGAACAAGTATGAAGAAAATGGAAAGTTGGGGAGTAAGAGAGAAAGGGATGGCATATCCGACATATCCATAACCTGACCATAATATACATGGGTTACCAACCAGGATCGCGCTGACGACACGCAACGCCGTCAAAGCATTATCCCGCCTATTGATACCATACCATACTCATCCCGCAAACAACCATTTCAAAGTTCAAACCCACAGCGTCCTATCCCACGCAGGGTCCTGCAAGAACGCGCAGGGCACTTTACTCCCCGTCTACCTCACCATCTCCAGTAAGCCAGGCCCAACAGCAAGCACACGGAAAGAAACGTACCTGCAACAACGGATGTCCCGCAACGGTGCTCAAGAACCTCTCCAACCTCTCCCGCCGGCTCTCAATGACCTCGTCAGAGAAGCGATTCGTGAATACCTTTTCAGGGAGAGGGGGGACGTCGACTCGTGCTCGAGGATGACGCGGAAGGCTTCAAAGTCCGAGTAACATCGGGGGACGAGGGAATGGCGTAGTTTGAAGGCGGGGATGTTCGTCTGGAGGGCAAAGATAAGCGGGGAAGAGGGGAAGGAAGGGAGAGAGGGAAGATGGACCTTGCATACTATCCCGGAATCGGTATACATCTTCCTTCCGAATTCTACGGGAGAGGATATATCAGCCAACATGATCCCCCTCCCTCAAACGGCAGCAGAACTCACCGTGCGTCTGCGGATTCCGCACCTCAATCTCCAGGAAACTCTCTGGAACACTATACATCTTTTCAATCTATGTATAAAGGAAGGGGAGAGGCCGAACCGCTATATGTTAATTCAAACGCAAAGGACAGGAAATGGATGGATCAGAGGAGGGTGGTAACTGCGTACAGTTTGTTCCCGCCCGGAGAGAAGGCTCTCCTCAAAGGCGGTGCTGCGCGCAAAGGGCGTCATTGTTGTTTACTGAGGTTGTAAAAGGCGAAGGGGGTCTTGTACCAAACCGGCAGCATTGCACCAGGGGGTGCAGCGGAAACCGACGATGACATCTATGCTTGACCTGAAATTGAGATCATGAGATTAGTGGTTGTGTCCTGGTTGCCATGTCGTGAAGGGATAGTAACGCCTAAAAAACGGTGGGGGGTCCAGGATAGTTTAGTAAGGGTAGTATAAATTGAAAAGGCTGGTGCTCATCGTTGCTGCTATGTATGTGTAGATTTTCGGGCGATGCAGTACTAGTGTGCCAGGGTCACGTGATAATAGAATTTGGCGGACATCTGCCAGTCAACCTTCTTCCCTCGTTGATTCATACGGTTGGAAGCATCGCCCCGCTGTTCTGCAACAGGACTTCTCGCCATATTCCTAACCTAGCTCATTCAGGTCAGGAGATTGTGGTATCATCTTTGCAAGGGACGTCTCGCCGTCACAACCTACCTACCAATTTGGCCATGCACGTCCCCGTTAATCTCATATTTGTCGGTTTTTAGGCTCTAGTTCGGTCATGGTGCTTATGTCTTCGTACCCTGTTGAAGAGTTGTTTCTCATTGTATCTACTAGTGCTATTCTTCTATGTTTTGCAAGCTTTCTTCCAGAACGTCTTCTCTCGTGAAGCTCAAATTTAGGAGCTACGTTACTGGCTGAGATAGAATTCACCCCATTGCCGCTGTTGCCTCTGCTTTTGTGCTTGAGTACTCGCTCAAGGCCTGTATGGCAACGTGTTGCAGATTGCTATTACCACTTTCACCGTGAGTGCAACTCTTCCATTCGATACCCGAAATGCACCATTGACTTGCGCTCCCAGTCGGCATCACCCAATACCGCAGGACGGAGAACAACGCACAAGCACGCCTTCCCTTCAAGTTCCAGTTAGCTTACTCGTTGTGTCAAGTTGCTTGTGCCGATTTTAGTATATCAGGAATTACTCTCATCTGCCGACAGTCACAACGAAGCTATTCATACCTGCGCTGGAAGAACAGTTCTGGATCGTGAAGATTCGGTAGGGGTCCTCCGACACATTGAAGCAACCTCCGAGGAAGGATGCCTTGCCCGTGAAGCTCGCGCCTGAAGAAGATTTTTTTTTTTGGCAACGGAAACTTTGTCCATTTCGTCATCGTATTCTTTACCAGCCTGCTCTGCCTCGTCAACAATGGGGCGGGCAGAACTCTGATGGGTCCGTTAAATGCGGCCCCACCCCAATCCTTTATGAGAGAAGGCTGACTGCCAAAACAGCGTCTATCTATTTTCGGGGTGGTTATAGCTTTTTTCTTCAATTATTATCGGAAGCAGGGTTAGGCTTTAGCACATGATGTGGCTTTAGACGCGCGCGTGGTAACCGTGTCAAGAGTATAGCCAACTTCACCCAAACCTTGCTTCTGCTCAATCTTCCTCTTTCAGACATGGTCCCTACACTTACGACTGAACAGAGAACCAAGCTCATACAGGGCGCTTTTGAGGGTACGCACGCTTTTCTGCCCGATTGTATGGGAACGGACTCGGTAGCTAAGCTTATCACACATGTTAGCCAAGGAAGGGGCATACAGCCCCTACTCCAAATTCCCCGTAGGAGCTGCGTTATTAACCAGGGAAGGCACAATTGTCAAAGGCGCGAGCATCGATAATGCCTCGTATGGTATGTAGACGATGCGAATGGACATTGGAATCATCTGTCCGACAATGTGTGCTGTTGCCCCGTCCAAGGTGAAACGATCTGCGCTGAACGAACAGCGATCGTCAAAGCAGTGGTGAGTTAGTTTCTCTTCACGCTGCATTCCCCATAACTGAAATCTTCCTCAGAGCGACGGAGTACAAGAATTCATAGGACTTGCCGTGGTCGCGTAAGTCTTTCTCTAGCATCTCCAAACAATTACTCAGGCTGATCCAATCTCCCCACCTCTTTTTTCTTCCTCAGAAATATCAATTCTCCCATACCACCCTGTGGTATATGTCGTCAAGTCATCCGCGAGTTCTGCGCGCTCGACATGCCCATTCTCCTTGTCCCAGGAAATTACTCACAACCATCATCACCGGCGCTCGACTTCAATTACGCAGAAAGCGGTGTGAGGGAGACTAAATTGGATCTTCTATTGCCTTAGAGTCAGGGATTTGACCTCGAGACCTTGGAATCGGATTGGAGCAGGTGCACTGAAATTGCAGAATTGTTTTTGAACAGTAAAAATAATAATACAATTCCATGATCAGTTCAACTGTTGTGATACTCATGGGTGAGTAGTATACAAAGATCATGATCATGCTCGAACATGGGGCGATACGATTGATTTCCTTGTCCCGGACTCCGCAAAAACTCAAGATTTTTTTGAACTTTACCAACGACTCCTCACTGCTCAGTGATCAATGGAAGGAAGTAGTATGAGGGTGGACGAAAGTACTTTGATGGACGAGTCCGGAATCCGGGTGGGGTGGGGAGCTTGTGTTGAGGCTAGTATTTAATCATTATCCAAGTTATCTTGAGCGAGAAAAAAAAGGAAAACCTTAGTTGGAAAAAAAACAAATATGTATACTACTTCCCATATCCTTCCAGTCGATTCGAACGACTGACCTCGTTGTTAACGTTATTGTTAAACTCCAACATCTTCACGCGAAGTTACACATCTCTCCCGCTGAGCTAGAAGGACCTATTTTTTGATATTCGTTTATATGTTTGGCAAAGAGAGCCAACTGTTTACTGCCAGTAGATTTGGGTGCTTGTTATTGAGAATTTTGTTCATCTTCCGTAGGGCTCTACATCTAAAAAACGACTCCGAGTCAATCTATTTCTTTTTCGTCGAGTCGAACGACGAACCCTTGAGGGAAAAAAAAAGAGAAAACCTCTGGGCGGGAAAAAAATTGGGCTTACAAGGAAAGGGCGGTAATCAATAAGAAAATACAATGAGGCTGTAATCTCACATATCCTTCCAGTCGATTCGAACGACTGACTTCATTGTTAACGTTACAGTTGAACCTCAACATCTTCACGTGAAGTCACACGTCTCTAACGCGCGCTCCCGCTGAGCTAGAAGGACCTATTATTTGATAACTTCCTGCTTCATGCTAGTAAATCCAACATCAAGAATTCTGGTCATTTTCCGCAGGGCTCCACATCAAAAAACCGGCTTCAAGTCAATTTATGTAGGCCAATAAGAGAAATAAATGCAGCCGAATTTCAAAAGTCGAGTTAAAAGAGTTTATTAGTCTGTTTTAAAAACTTGACCACATCACTTTCATGCAATCCTTTTTGTCGAGTTGAACGACGAACCTCGGCGTCATACCTAGATATCGTGCAAACCAGGTATTGTCGACGTGCTGTCCCGCTGAGCCTAAAGGAACTTGATGGTTATCATTTTGAAGTTTCTTGAATCGCGATGCGTGTCTACTGCGGTAAGAGTAAAATGTCAAAGTCTCTGTGGACCAATGGCGGATGAGAACCTGCAGAGGAATCATGTTAGAATTTTCCTTTTAGTCAATCTAGAAGTCAGATAGTAATGCCTGAGCCTGAGCATAGGCAAATCGCATGTTTCATTTTTTTTTTTCCCTTCCCAACAAAATAACATGTCGTAAAAGATAAGCTTGAGCTCAAATCGAGTCGGAGTACCGGATACTGCTACACTTGTGTTCAAATACGTTGCAAAAAAAAAAAGAGAACAGCATAGAGGCATCTCCTTCTAGTCGATTCGAACGACAGACCTCACCGAGACGGTCGACCGCCAGCCACCTCCGGCACGCTCTTCCTGCGAGGTTAGAAGGACTTCAGGTCATTATGTCAAGGTTGCGTGATGGATTCATCACCGCCTGGGCATGAAAGAATCGAAAATTCTTGGAAAAGTCCCGAAGCCAGGTTAGATGGATTAAACATTTGAAGAATTTGAAGGGTAAGCCAGTCTTGAAAAAATATGGAAGTGAAATTCCTTGTGGTCGAGTCGAATGACCCACCTTGTAATATGTCCCAGGTCTGAGCCACACAAGGATGTTTGCGATGTTCACTTTATACCAGCTTTCCACATTGGGTGGGAACTTCTTGGTGCCGAAACTGGTATTCAAGCATTATTCAAGTTATCTTCGGCGGAAAAAAAAGGGGAAAACCTCTGTCGGAGGAAAAAATTGGGCATGCAAGGAAAGGGAGGTAATTTTCAATAAAAAAATATAAAGCGGGTGTTATCTTCAAGTTATATATCCTTCCAGTCGATTCGAACGACTGACTTCGTTATTGTTGAACTTCAACATCTTCTCGCGAAGTTACACGTCTCGGAGGCGCTCTCCCACTGAGCTAGAAGGACCTATTATTTGTTATCTTTTTTCTTCGTCTTTAGTAATAGATTTGACATTGAGAAGTCTATTCACCTTCCGCAGGGCACCGCATCCGAAAAACGGCTTTGAGTTGATCTATGTACGCCAACACGGGAAATAAATGCAGTCGAGTTGAGTTGGAAGGGTTTGTTCTCTGGTTCTAAAAGATACCGAATCATCATCGACATATTCCTTTTCGTCGAGTCGAACGACGAACCTCGTCATCTCACCTAGATATAGGTATTGTCGACGTGGTGTTCCGTTGAGCCTAAAGGAGTCCGATGATTATTGTTTTGACGTTTGTTGAATCGCGATGCGTCCTGCCGCTGCGGTTAGGGTAGAATATCATAGTCTGCGTGGTCGAATTCTCCTCGTCCGACCACGGTCGGATGAAAACCTGCAGAGAAACCATGTTAGAAATTTTCCTTTTCGTTGATTGAAGTAAGATAGTATACTCCTGAGCCGCGTGCTTCATTGTTACCCTTTTCCTTCCTATGTCGTCAAAGAAAAACTTAAACCATATTGAGCCTGAGCTTGAATCTAGGAGTACTGGATACCGTTATATTTACGTCGCAAAAAAGGAAAAACGAACGAGACAGTTGCGAGGCAGTTGCATATCTCCTTCAAGTCGATTCGAACGACTGACCTCGTCGAGACGGTCGACCTCCGGCGCGCTCTTCCTCCGAGGTTAGAAGGACTTTAGGTCAATATGTCGAGGTTGCTTGACGAGTTCATCGCCGCCTGGGCGCGACAGGTCAGACGAATTGAATATTTGAGGAATTTGGAGGGGGATACCATAAGCCAGTCTAGAAAAAAACTTCCTTTAATGCGGAGATCAATTCCTTGTGGTCGAGTCGAACGACCGACCTCGTGGTACATTTCTTCACTTGACCAGCTCTAGGTCTGAGCCAACAAGGATCTTTGCGATGCTCACTTTACACCAGCTTCACGCCCATCTGAGCGAGTCAAGTGGCCTACTTAGCCATGGCTCAGACAATCTGAACCAAGGCAACTGCGGCGGGATCCCGCCTGCTTGGTCTGGCGAAGGAATACGTTCATTGAGTCTGACGTCACCATTCACTCACGCCGGCAAACGTGTGACAGATAATCTAGTCACACCTTACACATCTACTCATCTGTGGTCATTCTCTTCAGATTCTTGCTTAGCGCTTTCCATCCAGCTGGCTCTGTTCTCTTCGAGCTCCCCCCTTCGCCTTCTACAACCTCAATAAATAACAATGACAGCCGTGTCGCCCTTTGCGCGCAGCACCGCCTTTGAAGAGAGCCTTCTCTCCGGGCGTGAACAAACTGTACGTACCACCACCCACCACTCCTCTGATCCATCCTTTCCCTGTCTGTCCTTTGCGTATGAATTAACGTACAGCGCTTCGCCCTCTTCCTTTCTTTATGCGTAGATCGAAGAGATGTATAGTGTTCCAGAGAGTTTCCTGGAGATCGAGGTGCGGAATCCACAGACGCACGGTGAGTTTCTGCTTCCGTTTGAGGGGGACAGGGGGGATCATGATGGCTAATATATCTGTCCCGTAGAATTCGGAAGGAAGATGTATACCGATTACGAGATAGTATGCAAGGTCCGTCTTCCCCACCCCCCTTCCTTTCCTCCCCTCTTCCCCACTTATCTTTACTCTTTTTCCCGGACAGACGAACATCCCCGCCTTCAAACTACGCCATTCCCTCGTCCGCCGCCGTTACTCGGACTTTGAAGCCTTCCGCGACATCCTCGAACACGAGTCCACCCGCGTCAATATCCCCCCTCTTCCCGGAAAGGTATTCACGAATCGCTTTTCGGATGAGGTCATTGAGAGCCGGCGGGAGGGGTTGGAGAGGTTCTTGAGCATCGTTGCCGGTCATCCATTGTTGCAGGTACGTTTGCTTTCCTATCGTGTGTTTGTTGTTGGCCAGGCTAATTGGAGACTCGGACGGTGGGGTAGACGGGGAGTAAAGTGCTCTGCGCGTTCTTGCAGGACCCTGCGTGGGATAGGTCGCTGTGGGTTTGAAATGCCGGTTGTTGTTTGGGGATGAGTATGGTATGGATAGGCCGGATAATGCTTTGGCGGCGTTGGGTGTCGTCGGCGCGATTATGCATGTATATTATGGTCAGGTTATGGATATGTCGGCTATGTCCCTTTCTCTTACTCCTTCTCTTTCCATTTTCTTCACACTTGTAAGGTAGACGACTTTCATAATCGACAAACGTCACGTGCCGTTACCTTGCCGTTACATCTTGATCAAATCGGGTAATAAAACAATTGAGAAATAATTTGAGCTCTTCCTACTAGATTTGGAATGCAATATGAACCTAGTTTCGATAGATCTACTTAATGTCGACCCCTCTGCAAAAAACTGAGCAATTTGGAGAAAAACTGACTGAGCCTATGCATTTTCAAAATTGACACTTAGTATTGACTGTATTTTTCTATCTCCTTTACCGAAACCGAACTTTTTTCCAATTTTTTTACTAATTCACGTGTCCAGGATATTTATCTACAAAAGCTAGGTTCTTATGGTACAATAGGACCCCTAGAATTATACATATAGTCAAATTTTGGGAAACATTACCCTTTTCAGCAGCTGTCACATCAGTCACATGACCTTTGTCGATTATGAAAGTCGTCTACCTTACCCTCTGTGTCATGCTCTCATCCGTCCCCTCCGCCTTTTTTCAAAATAGGTTTTGGATTCTGTCACGCTGCGTTTCCATTTCGTACTGGAGGATGTATGTATATATGTATATGTTGCAAGATTCTCGAACTCTTTGACAGGCCAACAGGACGCATATAGTTGTCTTTGAGTATCACTGTGTGTTTGCACGGGTTTGAGTTTGGCCTGGAGATGCAGGTGATAACTTGGTGATAACACTGAAAGTCCATGTATTAAATGTATGTAGTGTAATACTTAAATGAGCGGTGGTAGTGAATGGATGGATATGTAGCTATAAGGCAAGCAAGGGGGCGAAAGCGCGAAGCGCTTTCCAACTGGGCAAAGAGTCTCCTTGGAGTCTCCTGGAGGGTCCGAGGCGACCTGCGACGGGCGGGTGCGCCCGTCTTGTGGGTGTGCGCGGAACATCCAGAAAACCAGTCAAAATGTCAAAGTTTTTGGGAGCGGAGGGCGGGTGAAAAAGCAGGAAGGGAGCCAGTGAACTCCTTCTGCGTGTCGAACGAGGTGGTGGTAGGAAGAGAAAGCGGCACATGTCGCACCACTCGTTCGCTCAAAGATCCTATTCTAACGTTACACTTACACTCGTTCCTCGCTTCACTAGCCAATCTCAACTTGTACGGGTTGGGTGGATAAGGCGTAAAATTTCAAAATTTCAAACCATGCTTGGACAAATAGCTAAATTGCTGGAGTTAGCGTTATCAACGAATAAATGCGGGGCAAATGCGGGGTGTGTTCCCTGACGTCGTCATCCATTCTTCCCTTTCCCCAAGTCACCCTTGCTGCTTATTCGTGACAGTGTTTCCCCCTCCGTACCGCTGTCCCGTTGCTTTCCCTTTTTGCCACCCCACAGGTATTCATTCAGCCACTTTGTCTAGCCTCGCTTTGACAAACAAAATGCCTTTATCGCGAAGTAAGGGTAAACCATCAACGATGGCTTCCAAAATTTTATCATGGCAGGGTTCCACATTATGGTCGTCGTGAGGAAAGGTATATCTGATATCGATGTCGACTCTTTGTAACCATGAGCCAGTCGGACGAGTTACAATGGAGTCCAGATTGCGCCAAACAGGATCGCAGCGTAAATCAGAATAAAACGAAACATAATCGAAGGGCTCATCATTGCTATAAAACACAATATTGAGGCTGACATGTTCGAGTGTAGCAGGGGATCTGAGACTGGCACAAAGACAAGATATCAAATAGCACAAGACGGAAAAGTCAGACAGTGTTGCGGATAATGGGTCGATGTTGATTTCAAGAACGCGCAGACGGGTCATGAATGGCAAGTATGACCCCTCGGTCGGATAATCTACGTCCCGAGGACCCGAATCAGCGAGAAACAAACATATTTAGGAAATCTCCTACCCGTTGGATCCCAGAAAGACCATTCACAATGGTCAACCACCGCATGAGATGAGGTTGTCGCGACTCCCTTAGGTGTCAGCGAGCGTGGCTGCTCGGCAGCATAATAATCGAACCAGACGTCCTGTAGATACAATTTCCTAAGATGGACAATGCCATGGAAGAGGGTAAGTGGTACACTCTGGACTTGTATGAGGTAGAGGAATTTGAGGGTGGGTGAATGTATCAGAGTAAAGAGCGCATCGCTCAGTTCACCGCTAAAGCGACCCCACATCACGTTGGCGAGCGAAAGTTCCTCCAGGTGACAGAACGGGAGTTGGACAATGGAAAGTATTGAGTCGTCAAAATGGGAAACCCAATAATGTTGGTTATTAACAGACATCCTTCGTACAAAGGATCGATTGACTGGATTTTGGACGAGGGCTTGATGAAGCTTGGCGCAAGCTTCAACGTTGGATCCGAAACTGATGCTGTAGAACAGCTGCTTGCGACTTGGGCGAAGGAACGAGGAAGAAACCAGGGCACATTGCTTGAGTGAACGCTTGTCGTCGCCAAGTGCCACAATGACATTGTCGATGATATCTTGTGGGATCTCCACTGAATTCGCCATGTTGACTGCGATCATCGATTAGCGAATTGAAGGTGGGTGCAGACATCATCGGACGGATTAAATTTGAGTGTCCGCTGAGGCGTGCCCTTGGGCCTCAGCTAGCTATGACGTCCTGGTCACATATCTCTTGAATCCCTCGTTACCAGCCACCTATCCCCACAGTGCCATAGCCTCAACGTCGTCTTCCAGCTCCCCGGATGAGAAGTGCAGGAATACCCAGGAAGAGTTCGAATATCGAGGTTGCGCATCCTTCTGAGGAAATGCGGTAAGTCGCACTTTGGAGTAAGTATGCGGAATTACGCAGTAGAATCTGGATCTCAGCTCAATGGTGCCTCATCCGGTTAATCCCTAGAAGCATTTCCAAGTAGCCATCAGAAATGAACGACTTTTGGACGCACATATACTCACCAGTAAGACGCTACTAGGCTAGTGTCCAAAACTCCTTCGCCATCATTTCACGTGAACTCGATACACGACCAGGAACTTCTGAGTTAATGGTACGTACGGACGGGGAGACACTGTCACAAATCTTTGACGGATAGGTGTATGTGGTAGACGCGATGGTGGGGGAAGGGATGAATGAATGACGACGTTAGGGAACACCCCTCATTTGTTTGTTGACAGCATGTATACTTAGAAGTTGGCGAAGTAAAAAAGTTCGAATACAACGTGATTTATTTCAAGAGTAAATATATGCGTCCTGTTGGCCTGTCGAAGAGTTCAAAAATCTTCCAACATGTATAGTATACATGCATCCTCCAGTACGAGTGAAAGTAAATAGAAACGCAGCGGAACAGGATCCAAAACGTACATTTGAAAGAGGCAGACGGGATGGATGGAAACATGAAACAGAGGGTACAAGTGTGAAGAACTTGGAAGCGAAGTAGTAAGAGAAAGGGACATAGCTGACATATCCATAACCTGACCATAATATACATGGGTTGCCAACCATAATCGTGCTGACGACACCCAACGCCGTCAAAGCATCACGCCTATCCACCAACGCGCAGAGCACTTTACTCCTCGTCTACCCACACCAATCTCCAATTAACTGCAGCCCAACAACAAGCACACGATAGAAAAAGAAACGTACCTGCAACAACGGATGACCGGCAACGATGCTCAAGAACCTCTCCAACCCCTCCCGCCGGCTCTCAATGACCTCATCAAAGAAGCGATTCGTGTATACCTTTCCGGGGAGAGGGGGGATGTTGACGCGGGTGGACTCGTGTTCGAGGATGTCGCGGAAGGCCTCAAAGTCCGAGTAACGGCGGCGGACGAGGGAATGGCGTAGTTTGAAGGCGGGGATGTTCGTCTGCTCGAGGGGGGTGCAGATGAGCGGGGAAGAGGGGGCGGGGAAGACGGACCTTGCATACTATCTCGTAATCAGTATATTATATCTTCCTTCCGAATTCTACAGGAGAGAGAGAAGATATCAGCCATCATAATCCCCCCCTCAACTCAAACGGAAGCAGAAACTCACCGTGCGTCTGCGGATTCCGCACCTCGATCTCCATCCTGGGCCTGATTAACTCCCGCTTAACTCAACGGCCGTGGAGCGAGTTCAAATGGTGAAGGAGTCTTATAACTTATGCCTTACTGGTGAGTATATGCGTCCAAAAGTCGTTCATTTCTGTGCCCTCCGTACCGTCAACGCTCAACTTGGAAGTTCGGGCCGTGGATCAAGTTCACAGGGAAGGATGGCGAAGGTGTTTAATTACTACCGTCTTACTGGTGCCAAAAGTCAGTCATTTCTTGGAAATGCTTCTACTGGATGAGGCACCATTGAGCTGAGATCTAGTGCGTAAATTCCGCATACTCATGTGTTTTGTGTGACTTACTGCATTTCCACAAGAGGATGTTGCATCGCCGCAACCTCGGTGTTCGAAAGGCTCTCTTTCTGGGTATTCCTGCACTTCTCATTCTGGAAGCTGGAGGACGACGTTGAGGCCATGGCACTGTGGGGATAGGTGGCTGGTTACGAGGGATTCAAGAGATATGTGACCAGGACGTCATAGCCAGATAGAGACATTTCCAGACGTAGGTTTACCTCAGCGGACACTCAAATTTAGTCCGTTATATAAGCCGATGGCGCCGTGATGGCTGCGCCCGCCCTTCAATTCGCTAATCGATGATCGAAGTCAACATGGCGAATTCACTGGTGGAAATACCACAAGATATCATCGACAATGTCATTGCGGCACTCGGTAATGACAAGAGTTCGCTCAAGCAATGTGCCCTGGTTTCTTCCTCGTTCCTTCCCCCAAGTCGCAAGCAGTTATTCTACAGCATTAGTTTTGGATTCAATGTTGAAGCTTGCGACAGGCTTCATCAAGCCCTTGTCCAGAATCCACTCAACCCATCCTTTGTCAGAAGGATATCTATCAATCATCTTGAAGATGGGGGTTCCAACCTTACTTTTGACCAGTTGGTACTCGCCATTCTCCAACTCCCGTTCTGTCACCTGGAAGAACTTTCGCTCTCCGCTGTGGATTGGAGTGGCTTTAGCGGTGAACTGAAGGATGCGCTGTCGACTCTCATGCATTCACCCACCCTCAAAATCCTCTACCTCACACAAGTCGACAGTGTACCACTTACCCTCTTCCGTGGCATTGTTCATCTTCCGAAATTGTATCTAAGGGGAGTCTGGTTCCACTCGCTGAAACCGAAGGGAGTGGCGACAACCGCTTCTCAAACGGTGGTTGACCATTGTGTATGGTCTTTCTGGTTTGCAACGGGTAGGAGATTTTCTAAAGATGTTTGTTTCTCCCTGATTCGGGTTCTCGGGATGTAGGTTATCCCACCGAGGGGTCATTCTTGCCATTCATGTCCCATTTGCGCGTTCTTGAAATCAACATTGACCCATCCTCCGCAACCATGTCTGACTTTTCCGTCTTGTGCTATTTGATGTCCTCTCTTTGTGCCAGTCTCAGATCCCCTGCAACACTCGAATATGTCAGGCTTAACATTGCGTTCGAAGGCAATGATGAGCCCTTTGATTATGTTTCGTTTTACTCTGGTTTACGTTGCGATCCTGTTTGGCGCAATCTTGACTCCATTGTAACGCGTCCGACTGGTTCACGGTTACAAAGAGTCGACATCGATATCAGATATACCTTTCCTCATGACGACAATATTGTGGAACCCTGCAACGATAAAATTTTGGCAGTCGTCCTTGATAATTTACCTTTACTTCGGGACAGAGGCATTCTGTTCGTCGAAGCCAAGGCTAGATAACGTGGCCGAATGAATACCTGTGGGGTGGCAAAGAGGGAAAGCAACGGAGGAGATCAGGAGGCCCCACTCGCTGGCGAAATTTGGAAATTTGGATGTTCATCTTGTGATGATTACACTGTGATTGGGCGGCGATATACTAAGATACGGGGGGGGTCAAGCTTGTTGGATGCACAAGGTTACCCTGTAGAATCACAACGCGGTTAGTGTATGGCCATCGAGATATTTATGGATAAACGTTAAATAAGAGCAAGTACAATTCTAGCAGAAGCATTAATGGGGTAGTGGTAACCTGGGTCGTTGCCATTGTCGGTTCTCATCAGAAAATCGACCCGCCGGGGGTTCGATTCCCTCTTAATGCATCTCTCATTGCTGGTGAAATTGATCGCATTTTTTGATTCTTGATGAGAGCTCCGCCCTCTTCAGTTTTCAGGCGCACGGTTCTGCGGCCATGAGCACGAATAAGTCATACTTTTCGTTCACTTGTAACGAAGATAAGCGTGTTATCTATATCAAGTACTGACATATGCATTAGTGGGGTACGTGGAGGCCTTCGTCAACCAAATTCGAAGCGACTCGACTTGGGGTTCGATTCCTTCTTGGTGCATACTATCTCTAGGATTTCCTTTGCTACTTACTCGATACCGATTTTGATAAATGGCCACTCTTATCGCTGTTGGTGGGAAATTCGAATCAGACCGGTTCCGGGTGAGTCATATGTCCATTCCTGCGAGCAACTTGATATGTATTTTTGCGGGGCTGAAGTATATTTAGTTTGGAGAAGAAACTCACATCTCTGCATATCTGTTTAGGTTTCCCCCATATCTTCGCTTACGGTGTCTAGAAAATGGCATCAATCGACATTGCCTCGTTGAATTTAAACACGAAGGTAAGCTATGTACCTCATCGCGTAGGAAGTGATAAACGTCATGGCGACATTACAGACTACAACGACCGTCAAGGCTAAGAGCAGATCCAGGAAGAAACAAGGCGACTTGAACGCCTCAACTCACCCCGACTCAAACCCGGATACGACCGTAGAGCCCGAGATCGTGGCCTATTCGCAACAGAGCCGCTTCCACCGCGAAACGTTCGATGCCAGCAATATCGATATTGACATCAAAGGAGTTAACATCAGCGTTAACGACAAAGAACTGCTAGTAGATGCACATCTGAGGTTGAAACCAGGTGTACGCTATGGGATGGTCGGACAGAACGGGGTTGGGAAATCAGGTTCGTTCAGGGTAATCCTCTTAGATTTGCGCCCGTCTTAATGCATACTTCATCTTCAAAGTTTTGATGTCTGTCCTTGGGAACAACCTCCCTGTCGGATTGCCTCAGAACGTCCGAATACTCCATATCGCTCAACTTGAAGATATCACGGCTGGTCGAACTATCTTGCAAGAAATTCTCAGCGCGGACACGGATCGTACGCGGATTATTGAAGAATCTCGGGGTACGTCCAACAAATGTCGCATGGCTTGACTCGTCATTAAACTCTGGTTAGCTTTGCAGGGCTTTTCTTCCAAATCTGCCTCCAACGCGTCACTGAACGTGATCATTCACGGCCTCATCGTTTCTCGTGCCCAAACAGCTCTTGACCTCGCCCAGAAGATCGCTACCAAAAGATCAGGTCAGAGAGGACACACCGCTCATCAGGCGCTCTTAGCTGCCGAAAACGAATTAGCTACCGTTCAAGCCCAAGTTCCACAAGTATACGTTACCAGCCAAATGGTTCACGACATCATGACAGAAGTGTTCGGAGCGTATGAGGCTCTGGATGTAGAGGCCGATGAGGCGCGTGCAAAGGCGATTCTCCGAGGGGTCGGTTTCAGCGATGATGATTTGAACAAGGAAGGCAAGCAAATTAGCGGGCTGAGCGGTGGTTGGAGGATGCGGGTTATGTTGAGTAAAGCCTTGTTCGTCAAGCCCGATATTCTGCTATTGGACGAACCAAGTAGGTCCGAGTGTTATTTTGCGTTTTGGCTACTATATAACCCCACTCTTAGCCAACCACTTGGACCTGCCTGCAATTGTTTGGTTAGAATTATATCTGACTAACGAAACGGAGGGTCAGACGGTCGTTGTCGTATCCCACGACCGCAATTTCCTCGATTCCGTCACAGATGAAACCATCATATTTCGGGATAAGAAGTTGGCCTATCATCCTGGAAACTACGAAGACTGGGAGAAGAACACCGAGGAGCAAAAGAAGCGCAAAGCGCGCCTCAAGGAGGTAACGTTCTTTATGGACCATGCTCTGACCAGTTACTGAATAGACGCTAGCTGGAACAAAAAAGACGCAAAAAAATCACGGAGAGCATCCAGAAGAGCCTTCAGATCGCCAAATCAACTGGGGACGATAAACGCCATGGGCTTGTCACTTCTAGGAAAAAAGTTCTCGAACGGATGGGAATGGACCGTCTTGAAGATGGCAAGCGGTACAAAGAATCATATCATGGCTTCCGAGAGGCTATCGTCGTTGATCAAGGAATCAAAACTGCTCCCATACGGTTACCTCCCCCTGAACCGTTCAATTTCCCGGGCAGCTCGTTCCTCCAGCTCTCCGAAGTATCGTTTCGATACAATCCCAAACCCTCCGCTCCGATGGTCATCAATAACGTCTCTCTGGACGTTGGCCCACATGCTCGGATTGGGTTGCTAGGGCCTAACGGATGTGGAAAATCGACCCTCATGAACCTTCTCGCCGGAGAGCTCAAGCCTACCCTCGGAGAGGTGAAGAAACACCACCGCCTCCGAATCGGATACTTTTCACAGCACACAGTTGATCAACTTGACCTTTCCGTTTCCGCGTTGCAGCATCTCAAAAAAACTTATCCGGATGTTGTGATCTCTGAAGGCGAAGCGCGATCTCATTTTGGGTCGTGTGGTATCAGCGGAGACCCCGTCACGCGCCCAATTCGAACGCTCAGCGGAGGACAACGAAATCGCGTCGCACTTGCCCTGGTCACTTTCCATCGGCCTCACGTTCTTCTTCTTGACGAAATAACGAATCATCTGGATATGGGCACCGTTGAATCGCTCGTGGAATCGCTTTGTGAATTTGAAGGAGCGTTGGTGGTGGTCAGTCACGATGTTTGGTTTTTGAAGCAGGTCATTGAGGGTGGTGGTGATGATGATGATGACGGTGACGGCGAGAGTGATGGAGAGAGAGAGAAAGGCATGCTATACACGGTTACGAAGAAGGGAGAGCTGAAGATGTGGGAGAAAGGATTGGATGCATATGTGGAAAAGATACAGAGGTTGTCGACAAAAGGGTTACAAGCCCGAATGGTAAAGTAACATCTGCAGTTTTTGGCACATATAATGTATCCTTAGGCCAACTCGCGAAAACTCACCCAAAATTATGATGGCACATTTCGGCGAGTTGCAGTTGAGTTGCAGATTATCGCGAACGTTGAACGTGTCAGCGACGTGATGAATTTGGTAGGGATCGTCCGTCCATATCAGTCAGCAGCTAAGATATAAATCGTCGTACCAAGCACGGCAATAAAAGAGATGAATTATGATAACGGTAGCTCGACGTACTGTAAGTGAAATGAAATTTGGACTTCATTGGGTGCTATTTATAAGTTGTGCGTGACGTCAGAGGGTCCTTCAGGGTAGCGCTTCTTTTTGGCTTCTTTCTTTGAATCTGTTTCTTTTTCTCAGCTGATAGTTCCAGCATAGCTGGACTCTTCTCCTCTCCTCTAGTTCGTGCTGGTTTGTGTCGACGTTATAGTTACAGTCATCCAAGGTAAGCAAATTCCCTTCCTTATCCGCCAAGCCGGGTATTTTTAACCGAATCCGCCCACTTCAGCATGATTGTCGCATCACCAAGGAACATGCAAAGCCCGGTCCGAGGGCGACATACTTGTTAAAATAACCTCTCTCTCCATCCTCGCGTCTCTCTATCTAAATACCACGCGCATATACCCAAGACCATGGCACAAGTCGAACTTCCAAACCAAGACACCCTCGACATCTCCCATATAGCAGGAAACGCCTCCCCTGAGATCAAACGTTTCCTAGGATATCCATCCCTCTTCTTCGGGAGCCATATGTCCGCGAACGTTGATTCGCCGATTTTTGGAGAGGAAATTCAGAAGAGGATTAAGGTTACGGAGTTGTCTGTTGATGAGAAGCGGGAGGAGGCGAGTAGGTTGGAGGGGAGGGTTGTTGCTGAGATTGTGGTTGCTGAAGGTGGGTCTTTTTTTGTTTACCATTGTGAGGAAGGGTGAGTAGGCTTACGCGTGCGACGTAGATATGTTGAATGGAAATGGAACGCTGCATGGGGGATGTATTGCTTGGTTGATTGACATGTAAGTTTCGTTGCATTTCTCACTCTTGCGAATTTCTAATATTTTTTATGGATATTGGTAGGTGCTCATCGCTGGCGTTGACAGCTCTCAGGATGACTACGTCCGGCAAATTTCAGATGAGCGTGACGCAATCTCTGAATGTGGTCTACCATTCTCCGGCTAGCCTGTAAGTCTACCCTTGACAAATTACAACGCGCAAATCTTACCACACGCCATAGGGGAGACAAAATCCGGTTAGTAAACACAACGCTTACGCTAGGCGCTAGAGCACATTCTGTGAGAACCGAGGTGGGTTGTATGATGTCCCTCTCAAACTTCCTGATGCTATGAAGAGAAAATCAGATCTGGAATGACACGCACCGTCGCCTAGTTGCTTCGGGCGTGCACATCAAGATGTTGCCGTCTGCGCCAAAAGCCAGCTTGTGAGGCTAGCGCTTGCGGCTCGAGGTCAGACCTTTGTAGAAGAAATTCATTATAATATATTCATTTACATAATCGTGAATGGAGAACGTACCAATAAAGATTCATCGACGACCAGAGTGTTTCAAATGTCTAACTGCAAAATCAAAAGGAACACTGTAAGTAGGCATTAATGGGGTAGTGGTAACCTGGGTCGTTGCCATTCAGTCGCGAGGAAGTTCTCGACCCGCCGGGGGTTCGATTCCCTCTTAATGCACTGAATTTTGCCTCTCTTTTAAAGGCTGGAATCAGTGCCGCTACGCACCACGTACTTTTAAATTGTTCATGCCATAAGTTATTTGTGTACACGTCGCCCTAGGACCCGGAATTAAGTACGTATCACAGACGAAAAAATTATCACTTTTGGATTTATTGGTTGAGAATCTGTCTGTCCTTGTACTGTCCGCTCAAGTGTGGACGTAAGTATCTTGAGACTACTACGCTCAACTCACTTTGTTGGTTGAGGTTTGGTGTTGGCGCCAGCAACCGCCGAGTCACCTGACCGATGTGACAAGTTTCCGCTTGGTTTCCAATTTATTATTCTATTCTATTCTATTCCGCTGGCCACTTCTTCTGAGCGTCCACTGCAGTCTTTCTTATCAAAGAGGTCTTCACACCTTCCAGGGTTCTGAAAATACGATTTCGCGGCATCACCCATCCGCGGAGACCCTCTTATCACCATCAGGAACCGCGACGGCTTTGAAATCTAAGCGTACGCGGACAGACGGCAAGTCTATTCTTGACTTTACCCGTGACTGACTTGTAATCACGGAGAATTATCTTTCTAGAAATCCTTCTCTCCAGTGATGTCCTCCTTCGTCGCCTTATAAGAAGGCAGGGAAATGGCAACGTATCAGAAGCATCCATTACCTGCTGACACTTACATCTGAATATGGTTCTCAAACTTTACGGATTCCACCTATCCACCTGCACTCGTACGGTCGCGACAGTGTTGCACGAGAAACAAGTCCCCTTTGAATTCATCCAAGTCGATCTTCTGAAAGGCGAGCAGAAAGCCCCAGAGTTCGTCGCCAAGCAACCGTTTGGACAGGTTCCTTACATTGTGAGCTTTATTTATTTCTCCTAAGCCTTGGCCTAATACCAACGTCGAATTCAATTCACTTAAAATTTGATATCTAGGACGACGATGGGTACATCTTATACGAAAGTAGGGCAATCGCTCGTTACATCGCGACCAAGTACGCCAATCAGGGAACGCCCCTCCTCCCGAAGGATTTAGAGGCATACGGACTTTTCGAGCAAGCTGCATCGGTCGAAGTCCATAATTTTAACCCGTACGCATCGAAAGCCGTTGCCGAGAATGTGTTCAAGAAGTGCGGTGGTTTCTTTCTCTTTATATTGCATCCCCGTTCTGATGATGTCGTATTTCGAAATAAATAAGGTACCGCGGGCTGAATCCCGATCCTGCCGTTTACGAAGCCGCCATTGCTGCGTTGGACAAGAACCTGGTTGTGTATGACCAAATCCTGGGAAAGCAGAAATATCTTGCTGGCAATGTCAGTACTACTGTTGTCCTTTGTCCCTGTTGGTAATGCGTTACTCACTGTGGACTTTAGGAAATCACGCTCGCTGATATTTTCCACGTTGCCTATGGCTCACTTCTCCCTGCGGCGGGGAGCGACACTATAGAGTCGAAGCCCAATGTTGACCGGTGAGTGTTGATACATTTTGCATCACGGTGATTTATGTGATTTTTTGTATATATTCAGTTGGTTCAAGGAGGTGTCTGGGAGGGCGTCTTGGCAGGCTGTCAAGGATGGCGTGAAGAGCACCACTTAACATGAAATTTAAAGAGTAAGACAGTATAAATATGTGGCAGTCCTTGCGGGGATTGGACAATGTAATGCATTAAGTTGGCTTAACCTTTTTGGCACCAGTTGTATTCCTTTAAAAAAATTCCCTTGAGTTGGGAGGTGAAACTATAAAACACCGAGTGTACTTTGTATGCTGTTTTTCTTCACAAAGCCAAAATCTCTTCCAGCACACATATAATGTTCAGAAACAACATTTCCTGCAACACATTAATGGGGTAGAGGTAACCTGGGTTGTTGCGATGGTCACAACACAACTTGGTTCATTGAGCTCAACCTGCCGGGGGTTCAATTCCCTCTTAATGCATAAGAGTAACATATTTCGTTTTTCTTCCAGAGTTGGAAAGAATATTGAATCATTCAGAAAGTCTCAGATTTGGGAAATCTGAACCTCTGATCACACCTTAAACAAGGGATGATCAGGCAGTTAAGCAAAGTCTTTGACAGATTCTAGGACAAATTAATCATTTTTGCACCTTTTATGTAATTAAAACAGACCTATGGGATTTTTTTGTGTGAAGGCAACATCCAAATGTAAAAAAAATTGTTGTAAGGGACATCCACAGAACAAAAGGCTGTTAAGAATTAAAATTTGTAGATGTAACAGATTCCAGGAACAATTCAGTTTGTCTCTTCGGCATGAGGCAAAACTTTAACTTTTAACAAAAGCTTCACCTAGGGAACAGAGTTGTGGACAAATTTAAACAATAAGCATTCTAACTGTTTTGATTCTGTCAGCCCCCTTGAACAATTGGCAAATATACTGTCAAAATAAAAATTGTCCCATTTATCTGACCTAATTACATACAAGGTGCAAAAATGATAAACTTGTCAGGGAATCTGTCCAATGCTTTGCTTCACTGCCCGATCATTCCTTGTTTGAAGTGTGATTGTCTGGCAATCTGCCGTGTCCATTTGTCTGTTGTTTTCTCAATGTCACACTGCTCTTCCCAAATCCCAAACATTGAAAACCTTGCCAGCACAAACCTTCACCAGCACTGCCAACACAACCCATTCCGCTGAAAGTGCATCACCTCCCTATCATGTGAGTTGACTCCCTCCCAAAAATTCTGGGCTTTTGCTGGTTGTTCATCACAGCTTCTAACAGCACTGTCCTGGCATCACTTGGGTGTCACGCAAGGTCACACAGAATGACAAGAAGGGACACCCAACACACTTAGGCACATGACGATGTGTCGCTGATCACCCATCAAATTGGATACTTTTGACACTCTGAAGTATGCGCCAAATAGATGCAGTTAGTGTTAGGGCTTAGTGTTAGGGTTACTACTCCCTTACATCAGATGGGTGGGGACATTCGTTCAGTCACAAAACATCACACTGAACCTTGAAGTCCAACAGTGATGGGCTTTTGATCTCTGACAAGGCAACAATGGCAAGCCATGACATGACCTGTTTTGGGCATGCAGCAGGAAAACATTTTCTAACCAAAGAAATGCATGAGTGGGTCCAGTCCATGGTTGTGAACTAGTATATGAAATTTGAAGATGTCTGGTGAAGGTTATTTGGGGTGACTGAATGACCCCACCCATCCGATGTAAGGGACAGGGTTAGTAGTGTCTTTTCACACAGTAGTGCACTCTTACTGGTAAGGGTAAGGTTAGGAGGTTAGGGTTAGTGGTTAGAGTTAGGGATATATTCTCTCCATGCAGTAGCATGTTCCCAGTCAGATTAGAAGGTTAGGTTGGTGGTTAGGGGATTGAAACTCCAGCTACCCTAATCAGGAGTGTGTCATTGTTGATATGTGTGCATGTGTCCTATCTTGTATATCCTTGGTGTCACATACTGTTGCTCAACAGTTTTCAATCAGGTCAAGGAGTGGAAGGAGGCTCCTGCCCAGCTTAAAGATGCATACCTGGGCGAAGCATGTGAAGAAAGTGGTCTGCCTCCATTATTGTTTTATCTGATTCAGATTAGATACTGCTTTTTAGTTTAGTTGTATTTTCTATCTCTGTCTACTAGCACTGTAAGTGCACCTATCTAAGCTAAAAAACTGAGCATGTGGTCAAGGTTGGGACATGGAGCCATATTTACTAGCTCGAACATTTGGACTGTCTGCCATACACTCAGACATTCAGATTTCCCATAACTCAGATGTCCTCCAATCATTTGCTTCCCCCAAAAATTCCCTTCTCCAATCATGTAAACAACATTTCCTGCAACACATTAATAAGGTAGTGATTGCTGGGTCACCATAACGTCAATAGTGGTGGGTTGCATCAACCTGCTGGGGGTTCAATATCCAATTCCCACTTGATGCATTTTTGTGAAATCTCCTTGAATGATTTGCATCAATTTACTTCTAACATTTGGGCCTTGATGTAGCTGGTGAAACTGTGAAATGCTGAGTGGATTCATCCTCCCTTCCAGTTCTACTGGCACAACATGAATTTCAGTTGATTCATAAAAGTAAATCATCTTACATTGACTTGAAAATACATTACTGGGGTAGTGGTAACCTGGGTTGTTGCCATACAATTGTGTTCATGCATAACTTGACCCACTGGGGGTTCAATTCCCTCTTAATGCATGATGTAATATAAGAGGCAGTTTGCACATGATTTTTTGCTTTTTGACTTTTTTTGTTTGGGTACTGTTGCACTGTGAATTTAAAGTATCAACACTCAACCACCCAAGCTCAAATATAAAGAGATGTGCTTCAAATACAATGATCTGGCAATGACTGTAAACTTTGATCAAGCTCTTCTATCTTATAAAATTACTAGTTAACCCTCCTTGGATAGAAATACAGCATTAATGTGTTATGACTAACTTTACACCAATGTATTTATGAGCATGTTGACATGGTTATTCTTGGTACCAGGTTATTGTCAGCTGTATATGCAGCATGTTTGAATTCAAACTGTGTGGGTTTTATGCCCCCAAATACAACACATGCACCAGAGGAAGGGTTAGGGATAAATTTCTTTTAGCATCCTTCTACAAATTACACCTGTCCCATCAGCAGGGTGGATGTTGATACTTGAACTTGTATGGTGGTAGTTTAGATGGGTTTCATATATATACAATTCTATCAGCTGGTTCAAGAAGTTGTCAGAGTTAGTCTTTAGATAATAAATCCATAAAATGCTGAGTGTTCTTGCTGTTTTTTTTATTACCCAAGTCAAAATCTTTTCCAACACACACATCAGTTCAAAAACCTCATTTCCTCCAATGCATTGATGGGGTAAAGGTAACCTGGGTCATTGTTATAGTCAGTAGAGTTTAACTTGACCTGCTGGGGGTTCAATTCCCTCTCAATGCATGATGCCAACATGATGCATTCTTGAGTTTTACTTCCAGTGTTGAAAATTTGATTTTTTTTCCCCATACATGTACACCCCCCAACTGCAATCATTAAAACAACATTTTACTATGTAATGCATTAATGGGGTAATGGCAACCCAGGTCATTGCCATTGTATGTGCTTCATCAAATGAGCTTGACCTGATGGGGGTTCAATTCCCTCTTAATGCATCATAGGGTATGGGTTCATTTTAACTGTTGTGCTGTAAATTCAAACTGTGAATATTTTACCCAATCTCAAATTCAAAGAGATGTGCAATTACATGATTGACAGCAATGAGTGCAGTGTGGATACATCCAACATAGAAAGTTACTAGTTAATGATTCTGTCTTAATGCATAATGGTGTGTTGTGTAGTTGCTTCTTGTGTAAAGAATTCACTTTTTCCCCTTCAAGACAGCATTAAGATTCTCTGTTAAGCATTAATGGGGTAGTGGTAACCTGGGTCGTTGCCATCGTACTTTCGAAATTTCTTCTCGACCCGCCGGGGGTTCGATTCCCTCTTAATGCATCGCCCAGTATTTCAAAACTTTTTTATTGTTTTTTTGTTTTTGTTTTTTCCAGATACCGTTAACGCGCTGCGAATTCGAAGTGTGAATATTTCGATACATAACGGCCCAATAATCTCAAATTTGAAGAGATGTGTATTACAGACGACGATCGACAAGTGCCGACTTTGAGCTCCGTTATCAGTGTGGATACATCCTGTTAGCCCTCTTTGTGAGCTCGAGCTTTGAGAGTGCGGAATTACAATTAGAAGAAATAGTGCTATACTACATACTAATCTGCATCAGTGAATTTATCAACAGTAATGGTATACTTGGTACCGGGTCGTGTATGCGTGAACTCGACCTGCGTGGGTTCAATTCCCTCAATTACAATGGTTTTAGCAAGAGTCATTTCTTTTAGCAACGACGGACGACCAACACACAACTCCATGCTCAAAACCTCGAAAACCGAATAACACCCACCATAGCCACAAACACACCCAACACGCACATCACAATCGCCACGACCAACCACGTCGTTCCACCACTCTTCCCTGTAAGATCTTTAAGCATGACACGAGCTTTACCCATCGCGTCGTAGTTCTCCTCGATCTTTTGGGAGGTTATTTGGAGGAGAGCGTTGTCTTTTTCGAGTGTTTGTTGGAAGTGTTCGGCGTTACGTTTTAGTTGGGTTGCCATTTGGGAGAGTTGGAGGGAGAGGGAAGATTGGAGGGATGTGTGGGCTGGGTTTGATGGTGTTGAGGTGGGGGGTTTGCGTGGGATGAGGGCGTCTGTGTTTGTGGGAGCGAGGGCGGTGGTGGTTGATGGGGATGTGCGCGCGAGAGGGGGAAAGGAAGGTGGGAGAGGAGATGGGGGGAGAGAGGGTGGCGAGAAGAGGGCGGTGGAGGAGAGGAGTGGTGTGTTTTGTTCTGGGGGGGAGAACTCGGGTTTTGGTATGGACGGGAGGAGTGGTGCGGGGCGGTTGGTGGGTGGTAGTGTGCGCTGTTCGTTTGAAGGTCAGCGAAGGACGGGGAGGGTATGAGAAGAGAAGCGAAACCTGATGCACGTCTTTGAGGAATACCTCGACTTTGTCCAGCTTGATCAAGAGTTCGTTACGCTGCTTGATCTTGGCTGGGAGTAACGCGTCCTCGTCGTATGTCTCGACGTTCTTGACGAGTTTGCGTGCGTATTTGACTTTCTAACATCGTACACAATAAGCAAATTCAATTCGGGACAACAAAGTCGAAAGGCACCTGGAGATCCTTCTGCGCTTTTAACCAAATCCACTCATTGCCCTCGTTCCACTCATCGGGTGTAGCGACGCTCTTCTCGAGCCTTCGAACGAGTCGGACGAGGTTTATTTCATCGTGGGTCGTGTACTCCATCGTGGTCGTGGTCGTGAACAATGAGACGTGGTGTTTGTCCCTGACGACGCAACCATACACCGGCTCCGGGCGGTGTGCGGACGCGATATGACGCTCAAGATCTTTTTAACCCCGAAATTCGCAACAACCACGTTCGTTCGTTAGCCATCTTTTCTCCCTTTTCTCTCTCTCCTACGTATCAGATGGCCCCGAGAGGAGGTAGACATCGCGGTGGACGCGGACAACCCCAAACGAGCCCTCGTGGTGCTGCTGCTGGTGGATCGCCTTATCGCGGCGGCGGCAAGGGAAGAGGAAACATGCCAGTACCAGGATCGAGTTTCGTTGAAGAAGAGCTGGCTTTCACTGCTAGGATGATGAGTCAAGATGGTTCGTTCTTTGGTGTAGTGTTCGTTGGGTACTTATTGAAGGGGGTGGATAGGACCGCAAAATAGAGGAACACCTACTAGAGGCGGACGTGGAGGAGGAGGAGGAAGAGGGACTCCACAGCGGTCTGGGGCGAATACGCTCCGTGGTCGTGGTGGGACGAATACACCCCGTGGCCGTGGTGGGGCGAATACACCCCGCAATGGTCGTGGTACTCCCAACCCCACCCGAGGACGAGGCTTTGGCATTGGCACTTCACCACGCGGAGATGCCAAAACTCCAAATAACTATTACGACCCAAGTCCCAACGGAAACTACAAGAACACTAACAACACACTCTCAACCCTCTTATACGCCTCCAGACCCCTCCTCCGTCCCGTCATCTTCGTACCCTCCGTACTAACGAAGATATTGTTTGAGGAGGAAGCAGGCGAGGAGCTGTTGAAGGCTGCCGTTCAGCCTGATGAGGACAGAGGTCTGTTTCTCTCTTTTCTTCGATCGGTACTGGTATTGGACTTACACTCCTCTGCATGCAGATACACAACAAAATAACGCACCAACAGCAGATAAAGTGTTTCGTGTATTCAGCGGGGCGAACTTTCCCCCTCCTCCTCCCTCGTCTTCTGGAGAGGAGGAAGACGAAGGAAGAGAGGATGATATTGAAGAAGTCGATTTTAAGGATATGGGCAAACTCTTAGAGTCGCTTGTCGTCGCTACCACCACCACCACTTCATCCCAACCCTCCAACTACTCCTCCTCGCGTGTGAATGAAAAACAGGAGGTGTTTACGGGGCGCTTTACCAACACCAACACCCACGCACCGCAGAATCTTGACAATGGAGGTGGGGACAAGGAAACGGTGCTAGAAATCGACTTTACCGAATTGGACAAGTTGACGTTGGTAGAGGGGGGTATGGGTACTCCGTCAAATTTGGACGTGCTTGGTCGGGAGAACGGGTTGATTGTGGATTCGATGCGGGAGTCTGACATGGATATGAATGACGTGGTTACCCAGAGCAGCGAGGGCGTCACCATCCAGGACGAGAGCACCGTCATTCAAGAAGAAAACACGGTTTCTGCGCAAAACGATGCTGTTTCAAATTATGGCTCCATGCACGTTGATGAATCGGTTGATGCGGGGTCCTTGAGCACCAGATTCACGGGTGGAAGCACCACTGTCTCTTCCAGTACGGTCTGTTCGAATGAACACACCACGGCGTTCTTGAGCGAAAGCACAAAGAGGGAAAGGAGCATTGCTACGGTTGAAGCATGTGTCGCGGTCGAAGAGCAACTGGAACCCGTGGCGAAACCTTCCGTAGATCAAGGAAGCGTATTTGCAGAGGACTCAAATGTCCTTCACGCACACATCGTCGCGGACACATCCATCGAAGTGGAATCGACGACGACGGAAATTCTTGACGTGCAGATAACACCAAACTTGATAAGTACTATGGATGTGGATACTACAACTACCACGCCAAGGCCACCTCCAGCAGAACCCGGTCAGAACATATTCTTCGTCGACGTCGTTCCTGAACCTGTGGCTGGGAGTGAACTCCCAGCACAGCCCCTATCCATACCAGATGACGATGACTCGGACGAGATTATCGTCTACGTGGCTCCCCATCCGCGGGTGAAACTTACTACGCACACACAAAAGGCGCAAGAGGAAGAAAAAGAAAAAGACACATCGCGGTTTGAGCCGTACGTTGGACTCTCTCAAACGACCATTATAAACGAGTCCTCTTTCCCATTGGCGTCTACGTCCTCCTCTTCCTCCTCCACAACCCAACCACAACCACAACCACAACCACAAACTCCCAACAAAGCCAAAAATAAAGCAACCACAGAGAGACTACGCGTCCCACCCGTCACCACACCCCGCCAAGCAAAAGCGTTCAAAGCAAAGGAGAGGAAAAGACTCAAAAAGCGCGCTGGTGGTGGTGGTGGTGGTGGGTTCAGTGTATACGGAGCTATGATGTCCGAGGCGCAGCTTTTCATTGGAAGCGGAAAGGACATGAAGAAGGCTTCGAGGCGGAGGGGTGATTCGGATTTGGATTGGGGGGATACTAGTGGTGATGATGATGCGGGAGAGGAGGAGGAGTTTATGTCGTTTGCGGATGTTCAGAAGCCTACAGGGAAGGGGAAGGGGAAGCAGCGGGCGGAGGAGGAGGAGGGAGGTGCTGAGGGGATGGAGGTTGATGATTTGGATGTGGACGCTATGAAACGTTTTGTTGGTGGGCTGTTGGGGAAAGACGCGGGGAGGTTCGTTACGGCGGATGATATTCGGGATGAGGAGAGGATGAGGGATGAGGATGAGGATGAGGAGCTTCGTAGTTTGGGTAGTGGGAGTAGCGAAGATGACGAGGAAGTGGAAGAGATGTTTAATGTTGAAGAGGGGATGTTGATCTCTGAGGGTGCTGCCGCTGCTCTGGGAGAAGATGCTAGTGATGAAGATGACAGTGATGATGAGGACGAGGACGAAGAACAAACACCACGGACGAGTTTCCAAGCTCGACTTGAGCGGTTGAGGGAAAGGGCGAGGGGGAAGAGGCCGGCTGATGCGTCTTTTGATGATAGGAGTGATGATGATGAAGATGTGTTGGATCGGAATATGACGTGGGCGGAGGAGGATGATGATTTTATTGAGGAGATTCAGGTCAGTCTTGTTTGTCTTATTCGGTATGAAAGTGACTGACGTGGGCATATGTGCAGAACATTCTCGATAAGAATGAAGATATTTTACAAGGCAGGAATAGGAAGGAGAGGAGGAAGCTGTTTACAGCCATTCGAGATGGCACCTTTGACTATGATGACGATCTTGAGGGGTTCAGTCCAGCTAGTAAGCTAAACATCCTTTTTTAAGCATCATCCCTTATTAACAGAGATACTTATTAGAACGAAAGAAAGATAAACGCAACAGCCTCCCAACAGCTCTCCAAGCCCAATGGGACAAAGACCGGCAAAGGAAAGCAGAACGCAAAGAAGCGCGAGCACTCGAACGGCTCCTGCAAGCCTCCGACCCCCTTTCCCAAAAGAAAGGCGGCAAGAAAGGTCGTAAAGCTATGAGACTCGCCGCAGGGCTCGATCCTACGATCAACGTCCTCCCGAATAGGATCATCGACATGACGACGCTCGTCCAGCAGATCCGGAGGTTCGTTGCTGATATTGGGGGCCGTGATTCGATGAGCCTGCCGCCTACGAACAAGGAGACGAGGAAGAATGTGCATGAGTTGGCGCTGGCTTTCAATTTGAAGAGTTTGAGTAAGGGGAAAGGAGATTCGAGGTATATAACGTTGACGAAGACGAGTCGGACGGGGTGGGGCGTTGATGAGAAGAAGGTTGGGAGAATTGTGAGGAGGGCTGGGGGGGCTGGGGGGGATAGAGGTGGTGGAGAGTTTGTTTATGGAGGAGGGAGGGGTGGTGGTGCTGGGAAAGTGCCAAAGCACAAGGAGGGAGATGAGGTTGGTAAGGTGGGTTATTGGCTTTTTTTCTTGTTTTTCCTCGTTCTGTTCGGATATCTGATGTTGTAAATGCAGGCTGCCCCCAAGATCAGCGAGGCGAACATTGGGTTCCGGATGCTGGCTATGATGGGCTGGTCGGAGGGGGATCGGATTGGTGTTTCGGGCGGTTTGGACGCGCCTTTGACTGCCATTATCAAGACTACAAAGTTGGGCTTGGGTGCTACCAAGTGATATTTGCCGATTCATTTTGCACTTACATCTATCCTTATATTCTTGGAAGTTTTCGTTTTTGATAAATGAAAATGTATATCACATTTTGAGCAGAGACGCAGATACAAACCGAAAAATACATCATTCTACAAGTTGGGGATCGTTACAATACACGGAGCTGTGGCACCAGTCAATAGTTCATTTGTCATCGGACGGCGAGGTAAAGTCCCTCGACAGCAACGTTCGCCTGCCAGATGCCAAGACGTCTGACGGCACGAAGGGCAGCGGGAGCTGGAAGTATAAGGATCATGGAAGGCAGCACGAAAATGATGATACCGAGAGAAAGAAGGAGTGTGATAGCGGGCTTGATGACTATGAAGTAGAATAATGCTTGATAGGATGTTGGGTCCGTGAACTAGTTGTAGTGTAAAAATATGGATTTGGGAGGTATGAGAAGACGTACCATGGCGTAAGTATTCTTGTAGAATGAGGTCTCACGGACGAGGCCGCCCCTGGTAGTTGCCAACCTGCCAGACTCGATCTCTGAGATGGTGGGGTCGCGATAGCGTGTGAAAATGGGTCGTGGGGGGTAGGGAGGGGGATAGGAAAGAGGGGTGTGAAATCTAATTTGCAGAGCTAGTTCAGCTCGCGCAAATGTTCGCGCGCCGAGTAGGTTGAAGAAACATAGGACGGCGCCTAATGGGAGTGCCATGAGGAGGGTTGTGCCCGTCTAAAAATAACGTCAGATACCGTCATAGTGGGGATAACGATGTTAGGCTGGGGAGGAAGGGGTGCCAGCGGAGGTAGAGAGGCATTTATCCTCCAGAGTAAGGTGGAGGTGAAGACGCAATGGATGACTCACCACAGTAAACACAAACAGGTAAACCCAGGCGACCAAAGCAAATGGAAAGTTCAGCAGGGCTAGATGCAGTAGCGAACGCCAATATACTGCACGCGTTATCGGACGGAAATACGCCTTCCAGGAGAATCCGGTGTCCTGCCGTGGAAGTTCAGATACAACATAACCGTCCGGATGAGAAACCGATGATAAGTGCACCTCATCACCAAAAAGCGACCCATCCTCTGGCACAAATAGAGATAGTACGGTTCGCGCTAGGGAGGGTGCCGCAGACATGGTGCTGGCATGGGAGTACGATCGTGGCCGACCGCCCACATGACGAGATGTGCTGGTGGGTGAATCGGACGGAGAAAGAAACGGCGTGGTTTCTGTTGCATGCACTTCCTCATCGTCTTCAAAAGCGCGAGCGTTCGACTGCGCCGACGCAAGAGTGTCGTGATCTGAGTAAGAGTCCGTCGACGCCATCTGGCCATGGTGCAAATGTTGTGTTCGAAGACGCCCCCGTCCAGAACGACCTGTTCTTTGTCTTCGCGGCAATGGGTACGGCGGTGGCGGATCCGCTATCGCATTGTCACGATCATCTGATGCAGTTAGCGCGGGAGGAGGGTCGGAAGGAACGTCAGGAACGTCGAGGATGTCGTCAACCATAATGAAGAGATGTTGATAATTATTTGGCTCTTCCTCCCGAAATGTTCGGACAAATGTTTTATTTTTGACAATTTTCGCAAAGAAAGGACTCAGACTCTAAACCGTTTTTGCTTTTCTGCACCATGCCAAACGCGAGTCTGACTCTTACTCGACATGCAAAGTACTCAAGGGTGGCCGTACGAGCTTTAACTTGTATGCGGGGCTAAGTAAAATACGGGAGAGAGCGCTAGCAGATAGTTTTGTTTCTTCCAAATACTTTGAGGAAATTCCCTATATTCTTCTCGAAGTGCTGTCCAATATTTGAGCAATCGTCGGATCCTCGCTTGTACCTCACACCAGCCTCGTAATCGTTCAAGATGGTTTCCAGTCAAAGAGCAGATGTCGACCACATTGTCATAAATCGCTGAAGTCTTGCAGTGGAAAACATTAGAAGAAATGATAAAGATCTGTAAAGCAGAAACCTACCGCGAGGTATGGCTGCCATTCAATAAATCTGTAATCATCCATTTCGTCAAGAATGTCATTTAGGGAAGTAATAGCCTGCGAGAGGTTTTAGATTGACGAAATCAATGGAAGAAGTCATAATACATCATCTTTAGGAGGCAATGAGCTCCTTGTCAGCTTGCGAAGGGACCGCGCCCAGTCAACCGTGAAGTCATATCCAAAATCACCGGAAGGCGTCCACGGGATACCACGTAAATGGCCGTAAACCTGGAATGCGTGGGATTGATCGTCAAAATTGAGATGAATCTCTTGAATTGACTGAAGGGAGTCAACCCGAGATCCAATCAAGGTGTTTAGCAATAAACACCAGGGCTCATCCACGTAATTGAACTTCCTGACCTGAATAACCCGGAGGTGGGGGGCTATAGGGTCATTCTTTGAGTCCTTATCAATGGTAAGATCTTTGATACTGGTAGGCCAGAGGTGATCCACTTCCAGATGGGTAAGTGAGGGAGTCTCGACCAACAACGCCCTCAGTGAACCCTCGATAAAGTAAGAGTTCAGGGCTAGCTTTGTTAATCTGCACCCTGATCTCGCTATTAACGCGATTATTGGATCAATTGTCAGCTCGTCGAGCTGAACAAGTAGGCTATTGAGATTTGGCAGGGCAAGATTGTCGAAAAGTGATGCAGGAAAAACGGCCTGTGGATTGCACGGAAACTTCTTGAAGGATAAATCTTTCAATCCTGTGTGTCGAATAATTCCACGGGGATTTCCAGCGTTTTCAACATGAATGAAAGTACACATTTCCATGTGCGGAGCTTTCGATAACACCATCCACGCATAATCAAGGTCGGGCCATCGAATGGTGACCGTTTTCAGCTGAGCCCACGGAAGTCCTAGCCTAGAAAACTGATATCCAGACCTGCTTGGCAGGAGACAAACATCACGAAGTTGAGGAGCAATCGAAAATATCGCAATGTCAGTGTTCTCGATGCCATTATTAATTCTAAGCTCAAGAGTACGAAGGTTGCAAAGCCTTGAGGACATTCCCGAAAGAAGACGAAGTCCCTTCCAGTCACAATGAATTTTCAGCTCTCCGATTCGGTCAGAATGGGTGACGAGTGTTTTTAGCATCGGTGTCACCATAACACACCATTGGTGGATGGAAACATCAATTGATAGTGGCAGGTCCCTCGCCAGCGTGAGATGTAGCTCCAGACGGGAAGGTTCGGTTTCAAGGCGCGGACTAGCGGAGATGCGTGGGGGGCGGTTCCAAAGACGAGGAGTAGAGTGCACGGTGTCGCGCCAGCGGCGACAGACTTTCCTCAGGGTAGATAGACATGAGACACCAGAGTCTGTGACGCAGATGACGAATATTTCCGATAAGAGTTCTAAGGGGAAATGAAAAATGGGCGCGAAGAAGGATTTATGATATAATGCATAGCTGTGGTATTCTTCAAGCCGGCGGAGAATTAATTGGTGAGTTTCTGACGACCGTCGTTTTATTTCCTCCAGGTCGGTAATGCGCTGTTCTGCTTCAGAGACGACGCTTCGCGCCACTGATTCAAGTTGTGGAGAATCGGCACAAAATTTTTTAGGTGGTGCATCGGGTATCACTCCAACCAAAGATCTGCAAGTGGAACCCTCCATGCTTTTGAGGATCGCGTCGCCGAGACCGAAGCGCTATAGCAAACGGGTTGAGCGTAAAAATAAAAACTTCAGTAATTCGGCGGAACTCAGCAACAACTTGACGACTGGACTGACCTATTCCAATTGATAATGATGGTAATATGAAGACAAACAACTGGATGGCTTACCCCTGCTCTTCGTAGTCTGAGTCTTTGATTTTGGAATGGAAAAGGAGACGTTATGAAACATTCCCACGAACGTTCGGGTTTCTCACAAACAAATTGCCAACTTCCAATCAATATCTCCCAAACATGTTCACTCCCCCCGCTCGATCCTTTACCTTCCCCTCCCCTCCCTCAGTCGAGATGTTTACTCATCCTCAAACCCCCACCAAAACGCCCGCCCCCAACACGCAGCCACTCAAGATCCAAAAATTCATCGGACGGAAAACCGGAACCCACCTCGTCGGGCTCAAGGGCGGCGTTTCTATGCGCGAAGTAATCGACGACCTCTTCAAGGCGGTGAAAGAGGATGACGCGAAAATTGGCGCGAAGTGGGAAAGCATCAACGCCTTCTCTGGTGCGTTCAGTTGGCGTTCAGTGCTTCTCATCCTTCATCTATCTGCAATTGGCATGCCGAGTTTTAAATAATAAATACAGGTACTTTTGGCCCGGAATCCCTGAAATTCCTCTGCGGCTGCTCCCGTGTCAGTTACATTGAAGAATCTGGCTACGTCAGCACCCCGGCAAGTCCACGACTTCAATGTTCCTTTCAGTTCCAAACATTGGCGCATCCTCAGGAACGAGATTAATGCGCCGGGTCTTGCAAGACTCAGCACTCAGGGTGAGCTGCAACGTCACAACCCACCTTCAAGCAGGTATATGTACCTCACCATTGTACGATGCAGTATCGGTGTGCACTCGGCTGCTCCCCATACTTAATTGGCAGGGGAATAAAGGGGTTCGAGGCAGCGACCTCTCCACACGTCGCAAAGATAAGGTTGCAGCAGATTGCCCGTAGAGGTGTCCTGCAAGACTTCTGTCAGTATTTATGTCCATCACAAATGAAATCAAAGTCTCCACCAACCTTGCTACCGCATCACTTGCGCATCACCGTTTACTGTTGCCCCGGACACTCAAATTTATCTAACTCAACGCAGGTGTTTTGGGGACATTCTAGACTGAAGAACCCCCTCTAACAATGCGTTTAGGACTACGGACTGGTGTGGAGGGAAAGCTAGTCGTGCTGCAGCTAAAATTTTGTGCGGTTTGAGAACCCGTGGTTTGAGTGACGATTTCCGTTTAAGACACATTGCCAGGACCAATGAGAAGGATGGTTGGCCCGCCCGTAGCAGCTCCTGCGGCGGTTGACTAACGTTGACTGTCCCGTGCTTTGTTACGATGCTGTCATTTGGTTCTCTCATATCCTCTTCCATGCTTATGACCGCAGCGTAACCAACGGTTTGCTCTGACAATAATTCCGCGCCAATGTGATACTTCGTGGGTTTTCAGGACCATCCTGATCCTTGGATCTTTCGACAAGGTCTTTATCACCGATAGAGCTGAGAACTTGAATCCCGGTCAGATCAATGGTCATCCCGCTACGACTGAAGGTCAACCACCTTCTTTTATACGTGCTTTTTTTTATTTAAAAAAAACTGAAAGACAGAATTTGAAAAACAAATGCTTGCCACCCCACTGTACGGTGCATTCATATTCACTACTCATCAATGACATGAAGCTCAAGATTTTTCCTAAATTCTCACCACACTTGAGGTTGCGAACTCAAAGGTGAGTCGATCATATAGTCCAGTTCCGTTCGCCAATGTCGCCTATCTCTCAGGTCAGGTGCTCATCGGACGTCTGTCAGACGACCTTTTTGCGGGGTGACATGAACGCCTCCGCCACTATAAAATTTACCCCACACTTCTTCCACTACCACCCCTCGGACCTTGGGGTTCAGGGCTAACTTTTTTTTGTTGACTCTGGCAAGTAGAAAGACTGATTTTACGACTAAGTTTCACGAAAGTCAATGTGCGCAGTTGAAAGCTGGTATGAAGACTGTCTGTTGTTGACCATTGAGAAAAAGTAAAATGTTTTCAATTACAGTCCAATAATCTTTTTTTAAAATGAAAGGCCGAGAGTGGCCTCGCCTGAAACGCGTGTATCAAATTTCAGGACGCGCATCAAGAAAAGGAAGACTTGACCAATGACAATTTTGGCATTTCTTTCTGTAAAATCCTCCGTGTGCAACATAGTCAGTCACTTTACGTCGCAAGAGTGCAAGCTCCGTTGATAACAAGCAAAGATAAGAGAAATCAATAGATCCGTGGTCACGGCTAAATACTTCTTGAGTTGAAGTGTCAAGAAAACCAGGCTAAAGATCATATATCTAGCTATCGACAGCTATCTTTGCTTTAGAATATTCTAATTGTTCCATGGTGAACGGAGTACTCTAGCGTTGTACCCGTAGAAATAGACCCGGGTTCTTCAGCAGGATGGCCTTGATCATGACGGAACAAAAGAAAACATGGAAGTCCTCGAACGTGTTCTCTTCCTTGGGTGAGTCATTACTAGACGTGCACAATATGACCGTTGACTGATAGCATTTCGATTTTCTACTAAAGAGTAGCCTGAGTTGGCACTGAGTATTTAAATCATGAAATTCTATCTGCCCAAAGAATAAAGGCAGCACTTTTCGTCTAGAACAGAACATTGAAACATTACAGGAGCATGTCACATCCATTCTCCAAACAGGTAAAGAAATGCGTCGCTGTGAGCTAACGCTGCTGCTTAGAAATTCTGTGATCACACGTTGCTTTCAAACCAATTGAAAAAAAGCGCAGACACCACGAGTTTTCCTCGTGGCCGATATACCGTAGGCCGATCCCTCGTCGGACAGTAATGCCTAAGTAAAATTTCAAGACGGTTACCCCCGTAAACCAGCGAACCAGCTCGTGTGCAAGGCGCTTTGTAAAACCTCAGGATGACGGCCTGTCAGTGTATCGAGTATGAGTCACCTTGCGCCGTCCACGATCAAATATTCAATGTCCAAAATCGAAGAGAACATTTTAATGTTTCGGTTGGTCTCCCTCATAAATGAATGGCCTGATCACCGATATGAAAAATCCAGAGGGGCCAACAGGATGGCTCTGACGTACCGATCTATAATTACGATCATGTTTTACTGGATAGCCAAAAGCTTATTCTACACTCGGAGCTTGGGGGAGTGATGTGATTTGAAGGCGGTAAATCTTGATGCATAGATGCTCTGCCACTGGGCTGCATGATGAAGGCATGTCGTCATGTGGCTACGGTGTCGACGGATGGTGTGGTATAGGCCGTCACGCTTGCTCCGCGCGAGGCGACTCGTCAGGTGTTCTGCCGTGGCCGTAGGCTTCGCTAGAAGAGACTGAAAGTAATTGATGCAGACGTCAAGTGATTATTCAAGCCCCGGGGCATACTCTTGATAAAAATGTACGTGACGACTTACCCTCCGCCACGCGGTCCGACGCCTCCAAATTCCAAGTGGGTGACCAGCGCAAAAATCGCTCAAGACCCTATTGTGCTAGCAAAAACCCCTCTCGTCCCACTTGAACAGTGCTAAAATGTGAAAGACTAGGGAGCAAGTACGAAGACTGATAACTTAGAAGACATACCAATTGCGTTGAACAGCATTTGGCAAGCGCAGTGCAGTGGAGTTCGTTATCGATAAACGCGTTTCTCGTTCCCAGCCAAAATACCTCACGCTCCCAGTGACGAGGACGGCGCGTGGATAATTGAACGTGAGTGGCGTCAGGAATTTTCGAGCACCCGTGATAAGCCACCAGTGTGCATTATCCTCAGGATAAATTTAACTGGATTATTCGGTGACTTTTTTGTCAGTAGCGTCTGTGTTGATGGGGGTGAGCGTGATGTATAAATAGCAAGAGGGGTTCGAGGTGATTTTCTTCCTCAGATCCACTTAATTTTAAATCGACCCCCCGGGTCGAGTTCTATCAGATCTTGATATCCAGCGAGTCGAACCTGGTCCCAAGTACAGGTGATGAACCTCATCGTCCACGCGTGGCTAGTTCGATCGTAATGCGAGCCCGAGAGTCGAGATCGACTCCAGAGCGTTTGGGTTCATCCCATAATTTGAACGCCGCTGTTCAGCCCCCCCTTCCCTCCGGCGGTCAGGAATATTCGACGGACGCGTTAACGGCGTTGGTTCATCGCTTCCGCATCGCGCGCATCTGTATGAATGAATGTCAATTACCCTCCCTGTGCAATGTACACATACCTTCAATTGACAAGATCATCAGACGATGCATGCGCATGTGCAGTGTGCACCGATTCCAAGGTCACATATGCTCTGCCCCAATGAAAGCTTGAAAGCGGGATTCAAGTCGGTGATTGCATCATAGGATCCGTTCTATCATCGGCCCCGGCCCAGTGGCGGGTAATTGAGTGGTTGTAGGTAGGCGTATAAATAGTGGAGCCGTACCTTTGTGTGATGCGCACCCTAGGGTTGTCTTGAATGTCAGGACCGTTTTTCCGAGGGTCAAAAAAAAATAAAGAGTTCAGGGATGTATCTTCTTGTCTTCAAATCCGTTACTTCCGTTCAAATCACCTTGACCAGATGTACGTTTCCCCTCATGTATTTGAATCGTTGGATGTTTTGTTTTTCTTGTAAGTGTCAGCTTCCTATGTGCCATTTGTTAAATATTTCATAGCTGTAAGAAAAAATCTGGATTGTTGCCAGACAGAGCGTACGCTTGTAAGTATGTGGTGCTCACGAACTTTCTGATCGCCCACGGTATCACCCAGGGATTGTCTTGATCGACCGTTTTTTTCCGAGGGTCGAAAAAAAAATAAAGTGTTCAGGGATGTTTCTTCTTGTCTTCGAATTCATTACTTCCGTTCAAATCACCTTGACCACATGGACGTTTCCCATCGTGGTTTTGAACCGTTGGATGTTTTTTTTTTTGAAAGTGTTAGCTTCCTATAATGATGTGCCATTTCATACCGTCGGTCATTACATATTCACAGTTGTAAGAAACAACCTGAAGGATTGCGTACTCTTGTACGCGGTGCGCAACGAGCTTGCTGATCGCCCACAGTAAGCCACAGTATCACCCAGGGATTGTCTTGATCTTTACAATGCGTGCAGGGTCGTCTTGATTTTCTACTTACGTAGATCCTTGAAGTTCCTCCGGGATGGATGGGCATTCAAATTGGCAGTACAGGGGTAACAAGTTCAATTTCTTGTTTTTCAGGAAATCAGGGCCGTTCTTCTCAAAAAGCTGAAGTGTTATCAATGGATTTTGGGGGTGCTTCAAGTTCCGAGTGTTTACTTGTTTAAATGATCTTCAGAAGGAATATTCGACGGGGGCAGCGGCGTACTTGATCTCATGATGAGTGTTTGGCGCGCATCAGGACATATGTACGTACGTACGTACTTACCTCCAACTGATCAACCCAACCCAACGACTCAAGCTCACCCGAGTACGAAAGTTCGAAGAAGAGTATTCGGCTCCACCTCGACGACGTCAACGTTAACGTCGCCAACTTGCGCCGACGTCATTGTGTGAGTAATGAGAAGGGTTTGTGTGAGAGTTCGAACAGCATTGTCCCCGATTTCGGGAGTGAGTCACGTGTGCACATACATGGTATGTTTTCCATCATTCATCCTCTCAGTTCTTGGGATCGTATGTTTGGGAAATAGAGTGGTTATATGCCGGGCACTGGCAAATGAACGTACTGCAGCCATGAGATATCGATCACCAAGACGATCTGCGTCCGGTCCGCTGGCCACCCTTAAAGTTTTCGTGGGAGGGGTGTGTTTATTTCTGGACGGACGAAGAAGGAAGAAGTGTGATCGGATTTGCGAACTTGAAGTTGTATGTTGAGCATCACAATAATCTTGAGCGTTGAGCGCTGAGCGCTGACAGTGGTTGAGCGGTAGGGTATTGAATTCAAATGTGCGTCCAATGCGCGTCGACTCGAATGATCTTTGTACGTGATTTCAAAGAGCGCATATACTTATGTCAAGTGCGCCGTTTCATTCGAAGAAAGGCATCCAAAAAAGCAAACGCGTCGTTGATACACCGCTTGATCATCTATCGATTGGAGAATTTTCGCTGGAGGAAGTTCATGAACCGTCGACACTGGCAATCTTTATCATCACTACTTACCTCAATTACAACGAAATCACAATTCTAAAGAGCCGATTCGCTACCCCGGCGCTCAAGCTCGAGCGGTGCGTGTTTTGCTATAGAGGCCGCGTATTGAGTTTAGCAAAAACGTTAACACCGCGCATTGCATTGAGTTGAGTTGCACGTAAACTGCGCGGTAAAGTTGATATTACTATCAGTGATATAGGTGAAGGTTTGAGATCGACGGGAACGTGGAATATACATACAAAGATGCGGTGCCGCTGCGTATTGTTTTTGGTGAATATGGAATGAGGGCGGACTCTCAGAGCGCTCCATCCTTCACGCCTGGGATCCCTCGAGGGTGGAATTGTTGAACGTAGTCTGACTCTATCCTTTATCTTCACTGGCAATCCATCGTCATCTCCAACCTCCAACCCTCCCGACCATCCGAAAAGAAGACACAAAGGCCACCCTGGTCGAGCTCGTCCGTCCCCCATCGTCGATAGCCAAAAAATCTCCGCACTGCGTCAGGGTCGTTCAAGGCAACCCTGACGAAAGCGGGGATAGACGTTGAGTCGGGGGGAAGTCGCTGGAAGTCGAGAACCAGGTAACCTCGACCCGCGGTCTGGCGGAA